TCTTTATTCAAGTTTTCTCGATGAACGCGCCTTGCATTGAACAGCGTGATGAAATAAAAGTGAAAGATGGGGTAACACTGCAACGAAGACCGAATAAACCTAGCTTCGTTTCAAAGCTTGTGCCGTATTGTTTGTTATTTAATTTCGTCTTGTCTCAGCGTTATCATCATGTTGTTATTGCCTTTTGGTGGCATTTAATTTTATATGAATTTAGAACTCAGTTTGTACATTCATTTAGGCCACACCGGAAAGGTGGCGCCAGAACACCAAACATTATGCACACTAGGAGTTCCAACAAAATAACAAAGAGCAGCATAATATTACATTGCAGACACGGCAATAGGTTCAGCTAGTAAATTGTATAATTTATGTTCAAAACCTATGCAAGTAAACAAAATACCAAAACGTCACTAATCACGCAACCTTTCAAGCGATATGTGCTCGTCGATTACACATACACGATGATACGTAACGTTATAAAAGCAGTGGGAAAAATATTAAATTGGGCCACATGCTATTTTTCTTGCATCGATGAAGGTGGGCTGCAGACAACCGCACCCTGCGCTTCATGAAAGCTTGGCTGAGCGGGCCTATATTTAAGATAGTTTCCAATTTATTAGCGTATATTTCTGGAGCGCATTGGATACTTACAAGCATGCGTGAGTAGGGATGTGGCGAGGAGATAGCGGTGGAGATGTTGAGCCAAGCCTGGTGGCGCTTGACGAAAATCTACCCTTCTGCCTCTTTTTCGCAGCTTGTATTGCAAACGCGGTCCCTAAGCCAAATCACTTTAACCGGGGAGTTGGAGATACTCTAAAATCTGGGCGCAATAGGTCTACCTTATAATGAGTAGCATGACAAAGAACTGCGTGCCGAGGTCCGACACGGCGAATCCTCGACGGAGAAACAGCCCTACTGCACCTGGCCCAAGATCTCACCGACACGCACAACCTTACTTCCTCAGCCGTTCACATACTTTGCTGTTAATAAACATTCGAATGATTGATTGTAATATGGCACCTGACTGTCCTAACATCATGTTCTAAGTGTCGTAATAGTGACAATCATTGGTGATTTGATATATTTATGTTTTAGTGGAAGCTCTCAAGTTGTGGAATTTTTTCTATCTGTAAACTTCCCATAAAAATGTATTGTATCAAATCATTAACGACTGATCTCACCCTTGCGCGGACTATGATCAAGAGTGGTTGCAGCTGCTAGCATCCGTCTGTTCTACTGACTGCGAGCTCCTGATGAGTTCAGATGGTTAAGCGCTTCGTTAGTCTTGGAGAGGTCCCAGAAACCAACCCCGTACCCGGCAGATTTTTTCAGCGGCCTCCAGTAGCCTAGAAGGCGCCACTTGCCCCACCATTTCAGTTGAAAGTCAGTTTATCCCTGGGGTGAGGTCATTTAATATGATGCGGCCCGATCTAAACCAAGTAAGTGTATTGAACGGACGGATTTTAATAACCCCGACCTTCTGTATGGGGCTTGACGCAGTGTGTTGCAACGTAACTTGGCGTATAGCGTTTGCGCACATATATTTACACCATGCGCGATAACCCCAAAAAATGCTTGTGCTGAAAATTTATTACCATACATATTTGTCCTCGTTCTTTTTTTCCGCTCCTCAATCAGTGTTTTTGACCTTGCATTTTATATTCTTTTTGACACATGTCACTTCGCTTTTTTGTATCTTGCATACATTGTGCGTTTTTCAACTTTTAGATACTTGGTAGATCTGGGTCTTTTTGCGATGCGAAAGCAATAACTCTCCCATGGAGCGAGAAGACGTCCTCAGCCGCGCCAAACGGCAGGTAAATTCCCGAAGCCGCGATCTGACTCATCCCAGCTTTCAAACCACGCAGAAAGCCTTGCTGAATGGCAGTGATATGAAGCAGCCGCGCGTCAGTTTCAATGAGCGCCACCCCATGGCGCTGCGTGTCCGCAAGGCAGTGGCTCCACCGCTCCACGCCCAAGGTCAAACCGGCTAGGAGAGAGCGCGCGCTCGACCGTCGACCCAAGTACTCCGCAGACGAAATAAGGGAGCGGAGGAACGGCGTTATATGCTTTCGCATGCACAACTCATAAGAAGTGCTTAGGTGTACCTCAAGCTTTTTTATCATGCCCCGCCCTTCTACGATTCTTCAGCATTTCACTTTAGGTGCAATATATAAATAAATAAAAAAATAAATGTGATGTTTGGACTAAGCAGAAATACTTTGTCCTTAAGAGGTGATTACTTGGCAGTTGTTTTGGAGGCCGAACCTCTCCTTCACCTCTTCTAGGCTCAACAAGATTATTTTTGTAGATGCAGCTTCTTGCTCTATACCCGTTTTCCACCTCAAATATCGCAGTAAAACAAGTCCGGCTCCTCGCGGCGCAATACTAATTTTCCCATTTATGTGGAGCATTAAGACTTCTATAGGTGTATTTTAGACTGGATATGTGTTATCTTACCAAGACGTAAACATTTCAAACGCCGAAAGCGTCGTTTCTTTCTCCAACAGCCAAATCTTCTAAGAACTACTTCGCCCGGCGTATGAACAATGCGCAAAACGTCCTTTTTTCTTGAGGTGAAAACGAGTATAGTCTTTTAGCTGATCGATTCACGTGAAAAATTTCCGAAAAATAAATTTTTACGAAATGACAGTTTAAAGTTACAAAAGCATTTTTCGTTTTTTAGCATACAGAAGCACGCTTGTTGTAAGAACAGTCACACCGATCGCGGATGCACGAACTCCAACGGCGCATCGTCACGGAACAGTCAAGCCGCAATTAGAGTATACCTTGTGCCCCCCCCCCCCAAAAAAAAAAAAATATGTTTTTTTACTGCAAAAATAAATTACACATTGCAGAGGGCAGTGCCGGCCCAAATCTAGCGGCAGCTCTTCGAACCAGTTGCCGAAGTTTCAGAACTACCGTTATCGTATTAAATAAATAAGAAGCGCTTTTGTTTTTCTTCCCAAAGAGAGATTGGGTCCTCCATTCTCTTTAGCTGACGTCATCATTTTTGTGCATACATGGGCCTTGTTGTCCGTCATTTTTAATCAGTTAACAGCAACCTCTGAAACTTTGGTAAATGTTTCAGAAACCTAGCGCTGCATTTGAGCGTAAATTGTCGCATCGGTGATGCGAAGGTTCTTTTTGTGGTGAAGAAAACACTGTGTCTTTTTAGAGGTGGGGGGAAGGTGGGGAGAAGGTAGGGTATTTTTAATTCTTATTCTTGAGTTGAAGATGTCCACCAACAGCTATACGCCTCACCGGTGGTTCACCATAATACTTTCAAAACAAAATGAGCGATGCGAAAACTGTAATAATAAAAGTACAAACACAACAGTGAAAAGCACATGTTCTATGTATTTCCCCTACTACTACCTTTAAAAAAGGACGTTAAAACCTATAAACACATCTTTTCCAGATGAGGTAAAACTGTTGTACGAGTCTACCATTCTCCTTGGAGGCGAAAGTTGTGAATGTCTAGGAACATTAAAAAAAAAACGTTAATTATACCTCTAGAAGCGAAATGATACACGAATGTGCATGCCTGTTAGCAAACCTGGACAAGCTACTCTGTTGTTCAATAGTTTTGTTGCAAATGTTACAAACCTCTAATATACCTTTTTTCTTCAAGTGTGAGCATTTGGAATTCCAGAAGTAGCCAGTTGTAATAATATTTCTTATCGAGGTATCAGTCGTAAACCAAACGATTAACACGTCTCTGCACTCCTTCAATTCTCTCTAGCCTAGACGACGGCAGTGAATTCCGCGCATTTAGTGGAAATTCTAATCTCGAGCGGACAAAACGATTTAAAGTGCTATAACAGTTTTCGGGGTTTTAATGATCCGTGTAATTCTAAACACCATGCCAAGCATCCTCAATGATGAAGCAACTACATCATTCACGGCTGTGCTTCCATTAGAAGACCGGAATCCAAGAATACATCGAGATTTCAAAGTTCAGACCTCCGTTTTATTTCACGCATGTTTAGCATGTAAGAATGAGTATATAGCATATTGTTTTCGGCTTATTGTAATCACCATGTCTTTTCAAGTTAACATACGACACATTTTTGAACACCACCAACTAAAGGTTCACGTTTCAACTAAAGTTTTGCAATTTCAAGCAATCTACAGGGGTTTCAATTTCGTGGAATATTTTACGCCATCTGCGTACGGTAGTATCTGAGAACAGTTTTTACGGTCAAGAAGATCATAGTCAAAAACTATGTATAAAAAGTGACCAAGATTTAAACCCCCAGGCGCCCCAGAAGTATCGACCTATGCGGGAGACATGACTTCTTGACAGCGTACAAAGCTCTCGCGCCCGACAAATACCTTCTGAACCACCTTGTGTATGTTTTGGTTACTCCATATCTAGACATCTTAACGAAAACATTTAATTATTGATTATATCGAGAGCTTTCGTCATACCTAAATAAAGTACATTAACTTCCAAAAAAAGTGCCAAGCATCCAATCGAAACATCAAGAAAAGGCTACGTATCCCATGGTCTCTGTTGTACGTATTCCCCCATCGTGTTTTTCGCACTTCTAAGTCCTTCAGGTCATAATGAACCAACTAGTCCAATCCAAAGTTTGAATTCAACGCATTTCACATGGAAAATATAGATTTCTTGTGAAACGACCATACGCGACTTTGGTAGGGCCCTCGAGAAGCAAGGCAAGCAAGCGTACGACAAACGTTGCATGCCGAGCTACGTCAAATACGAGCAGCCTGAGCGACGCCTTATCACGCGATTCGTACTCACGTGCTTCCCGGGTCAGCTCGCCTGCGACGCGCACAAGGAACCAGAACAGGTCAGCGCCGAGGTCGGCGAAACTAATCGCGATTCCCAAGTTGCTGATTGTTGTTTACACCTCTGTTTCTCTTTCGGGGGGTTGGTCAGCTGCCTCGGGGCCTCGGGGTATTTCATACTTGGTTTTGATCGCACTCGGTTTACAAGCGAAACTGAGCAACGCACACGTACAGTCATGAAGACTATTATTGCCTTCATCCTTATGGTCAACTGGAGCCTCGTAGTATGCCAGGAACCCCTGGAAATATGTGGTGAGTACATGCGCTCTTTGACACTATATCTTGGTAATTTGCGTCAGAAATACTTGTTACAACCCTGCGTGTCTTTTTTTCTGTCGCAGGTATAAAGGATCGGGAAATAGAATCGATCTTCTACTGCATTCGCGCCAACACTTCACCTAGTGTGAGTCTACAAACAACGTTTTACTCTCGTGTCCCATTTAAAACAATAGTTTCCAAGGTTATCTTTTGGGCTTGTTTCTTCGAATGACGCATGTTTCTGACTAACAATGGCGAGGTTTAGAATAGCATATACAAAAGCTTCGTCACAATGCGCCAATTCAAATTTGGTTAGCGCTTGGTGCATGCACAGGGGCGAAGACGCTACTTATTTGCACATTTAGCGTTTTGGCGTACGCTATTCCAGAACTCGCTAATACAACTACGCGAGGCAGCGCGCAAGGCTGAGACCGATCGTTTGGGGAACATCATGCATCATGCATCATGATGCACAGAGGGGGGATGACCCAGCCGGTGAGATTTTGGGAATGACGAACGTAAAACTTTCTGTCCCCGTGGTTTGTGTCCCACGCGATACTCTAAGAAAGCTGGAGCCTCTGCTTTCCCACAGAGCACATAGGTAATTCAATCGCTTTGTCCTTTAAAGGAGGTTCGGTGAATGGCGCGGCTGAAAATATATCTATTAACCTAAGAAAACTGTTTGCGCTGTTTTCTTAGTGCCATACTTCGTTTCAAATTAAGTCCTGGCACAGCCAACGCTACGGGCTAATGAGACGAATCAAGCAGCGTGAAAAGCGAAAGTCACTGGGCATTTTCGTTTACGATTTGTTCAGCTGTTGAAGATTTTCAAGTTCAGTTGAAGGTAGGACACGTACAGAAACTTGACGAGCACCAGGATGGTGCGCTTTCGTTGCTGTCTGATTTGTCCCATCGGCTCGAAGCGCCGGCTGCGTCTGGTCGACAGTGATTGGCCCTTTCAAGTGCCATGCGGGAAAACAGAAGCTCCAGGATTCGTTCAGTGTAGACAGAACATTTCCTGACGCGGCATGCGACATACACAAAGGAAATACATTTGAAGCTTCTTATACTTTATCGCACAGCGGGTTCCTGATCAAGAAGCGACTGGTTCATCGCTAGTGAAAGTGCAGTAGGCTGGAAACAAATATTCGGAACACTCTACTAATATAAGTTTACTGAATATAAAAATAGAGTAATACGATGTACAGTTTGAAAGAATTTTCTGACAGGTTTTATACCTGCATGGAAGAACACCGTTGTCAAAAACGCGGCAGGTAAAAGGGGTAGGTGGTCAAAATCTTAAACGTATTATTTACGTTTATTTGTTACTCAAATGCTGATTTAACTTATTTTAATGCAAACCACTGACTTCACGATGATCGCACATAATTGCATAATCCTTCACACTGCTGAAAAGATCAAAATCGTGAGAGAAGGTCAACTGCTTAAGTTGCATTAATAAACAAAACAGTAAAATATTTAAAAAAAACGGGCACAAAAAGGAAATAAATTGTTTTTCTTTTGTACTCGACATTTTTGCTTTCAACCATTGTAGAAAAACACTATTAGACGTAACACACTTGTTGGGCTCTGACATAACTTTATCATTTCATTTCACTTCCTTACCTTAAAAGGATACGAAGCGAAATTTTAGCGCTTATTCCTTTGTGTATACGTGGTCTCCTTTATGACAGCCGCTCAGAAACACCAAACTTTCGTCCGTAATCGCAAAAAAGCAATTTCAAGACCAATAAAACGATTTCCCAATACCACCTTGTAGTTGGTTGGAATGTCTCAGGTCACGTGCCCATCAGGAGCAGCACCTTGGCGCGGCGTGTCCGATGGAGGTGCCCGGGAAAGAGCGGCGCTTGGCACACCTCTTCTAGCACACCACACCTCGGTTATTCTCACTTGGCGAGACTGTAACGCGTGAGCGATAAAGCTGGCGCCACCTAGTGATGACGATCGCAATTACGGCACCCTTGGCCGTGTCGACAAAGTTCAGAGTGTGACGTCACGGTCAAATATCCCGAGACGAACCGCGCCGCCTCGATTGCTGATTTCGAAACGCTAGCCAGAATCCGTCGGTTAGAACGAAAAATATAGTCATCCGCAGACAACACAAGCAAGTAATCACCATGTACGGATATTATGAATCATATTTTGCCCGTTTCGAAGTGTTCCGGGGACATTTCAAGCTTTGATTCTGTACCGCTTTAAGGACCACTTGAGGGAGGCATTACATAGGGGGGTGTCAAATTCAATTTTCTATAATTAAACGAACAGAAATACTGCAAAAAAAATAAGAAAGGGTTAGTAAATAACCTGATATAAACATTATTCAACTACTTCAGAAATCTTTTCCGAAAAACATTTGTAATTGTTTTTAGCTGCCAACTTTGAGGGCAGGCTATTCCAGTCTGATAGGCATAATGGCAGGAGTGAGCGTTTGAATGTGTTGGTATTGCAAAAACCTTTCAGCCTTTCCACTTTGGTGAAGAAGGAAGACCAGCGAAGATGTACTATGGTGGGAATGAAATAATGGCCGTCCGCAAGTCGGCAGGCCAGAGTGGAAAGGCTGGAGGGGTTCAACCACTAACAAGCAGAGTTGTTAGTGGTAGAAGTAAGTAATCCGACGGTTTCATTTACAGTTTGTGTTGTTTATCGGCCTCCTGATTTAAATGTGGGATCATTCATTTTTGAGTTCTTGGATATGCTAAGTAATTTAAATGTGTGTGAAGCTTTATTATCAGACGGTGACTTTAATATAGACGTCAGAAATGCTTCAGAAAGTGGCTTCAATGACTATCTTGACATGTTAGCAGGCTTTGGTATTGAAAACTTGATTGCGGACTACACTAGAGAGGAGCATCTTGGAAACAAAATAACAAAAACTTGCATTGATCACGTATTGGTCAGACTAGACTGCATGTCCATAGTTGCTGGTGTAGTTTGTAAAAAGCTTTCTGATCACTATTTTACTGTCTGTGTCGCAATGCTGGATAACATAGCTGCAGAAAATAAAAAGGATAAAAAATGAATAACAATATTGGACAACAAAAAATGTAGATAAATTGATTTCAGAGTTCGACTGGAACTCTTTAAAGCATCTTCTTCACACTCACATATATGAAACTATGGTTGGAGTGTTCTCTAATATATACAAAAACTCCCAGAAAACTATCAGACTGAAACAGAGAAGTGTGGGTAAAGTATGGATCGACAGTGACATACTAGAGCTATGTCGACTCAAGGACAAACTATGGACTAGGTGTAAACAAAATCCGGGAAATCAGTCCTTAAAAGATGAATTCCGTTCAGCAAGGAACAAGTTGACAGCTAAACTCAAATTTGCAAAACACAGTTACTATAAAGAAAAATGTAATAATACTAAAGGTAACGCTAAAGGAACGTGGAACCTAGTAAATGGGCTAACAGGAAAAGAAACAAAAACAAGCATTGATGATACAATCGCAAGAAACTTCGGTGAATCAGGTGATTGGGTATCGTTACGTGAAACATTCAGTAATAAATTTGCAACTGATGTTGAGGAACTTAAAGCTAAAATAAACTTCCAGCAGCAAACCGGGTTATCAAATCTAGCACACAACCTGGAGTCGGCGTATCTGCCTTCGATGACTCACGCAGATTTGCGTTGTATCATAAACACTATGTCGATAAAAATCCGGCAGGAATTGACCAGATTCGTTTAAGAGATATTGTACATAATTTTGATAAGCTAAAGGATGTGTTACTATCTGTTCTAAATGGCATATTCGAGACGGGGGTTATTCCAGCTGGGCTCAAAAGTGCGATTGTAAGGCCGTTATTTAAAGGAGGAAATAAAAAAGATGTAGCAAATTACAGACCCCTATCGATTATGCCAGTAATCTCCCACATAATGGGAAGCACATTGCGAACACAATAAACTCTTTCTGTGATAAATTTGATTTAATTAATAAAGCGCAGTACGGTTTTAGGAAAGGGAAAAGCACAACGTCGCTTCTTGAGGATTTCACTGATGTTGTGAACGAAACTCTGGATGAAAATAACATTGGTTTAGCATTGTTTTTAGATTTGTCAAAGGCAGTTCACACAATTGACCATTCAAAAATGCTTCAGAAGCTCTTTGCTTTGGGCTTGAGAGGACCTTTTTTTCAGTTCTTTAAGAGCTATTTTTCTAACAGAACGCAGAGAGTTAAGATAAAGAATTATATGAGCAAAACTGTAATGGTAAATTATGGAATACCACACGGATCATCATTAGCTCCCTTGTTGTTTAATATTTTTGTTAATGACCTGGGCACACTCAATTTGCAATCGAAATTATTTATGTATGCGGATGATACGGCCTTAATTCTCCCGCATTAAAATTACGAAGTTGCAGTAACAATATTTCAAAATGATGTAAACGTATTAATGAACTGGTTTAGTGAAAGTAGGATATTTGTAAACTTGAAAAAGACCAAATGGAAGTGTTTTAGGAATCCACATAAGCGAGTAGTTTTGCATCGTTTTTTATGCATATGTGAACCAAAAGGGGACCTCAAATTTATACGGAAATTAATTATGAGGCCAGCGTAAAATATCTAGGGTTTCATTTTGACAAACACATGACCTGGGAATATCACGTGAATTACATAAAAAAGAGGTTGAGAATGGTTTCTTCATATATATACCGTATTGGTACGGCAGTGAGTGCCGCTATAAAACAAAATATCTATCGTGCTCTTGGAGAATCTGTGCTCAGATATTAATTAGTTTATGGCTCCTGCTCAAATCACACACCACAGACAGTAAATAAATTGATATTTAGGATAGCAAACAACATTTCATGTGGGACTCAGTTTCAACAATTAGGTCTGTTTCACAAACTTGAATCATTTAACATCATGCCATTGCATATTCTATTCAAATACATCGTTATAACAACGCATTATTTCTCTAGAACAGAATTCAAACAACCAGTTCGTAAAAGGCCCCTCAGAAAGGCGGAAAGGTTCTATTTGCCAAGAATACATACGCTCTACGGAAAAAGACCAAAGAGATTTCTATATTCCCTGCACTTTCAATGATATACCCGAAGAACTTATGGACCTAGGGTCTCTTAAATCAGTTAAAGACAAATTTAGAACATGGTGCTTGCAAAAGTATATTTAGAACGTTTTATGTCTTCCTGTGTGCTGACCTTGATGCCTCTTGTACAGTGATTACAGTATACGTATTTAGGTATCTGAATTTTAAGCAATATCCTCCTGATCCTTATGTTTGTTGCGGTGATGATCTCTTTATATTGTATAATTTTGTACTTTGGTATATGTGCTGAATTTATGTGTGTTCAAATTATCAAGTATTTCTAATTCAATAATGCCTGTCTCTATTGTGCGAATTGTGTCCTTTATGCTTCAGTTGCTATATGGCACTTACAGGAACTAAGATTTTGTGGTGTATCAGACGTTCAGATTAGTGAATGTATATTTGAACTTTTGTCATTTGTCGTGTTGCTCTTTGCAGATGGAAGTCATTGTCCTTTCTTTTGTACAAGGCTTGAAGTTATCTTTTCCTCCTTTTTCCTGATTTTGTTCAACGCGAAGAGCAGCTTTTGCTTAGTTTAGTTTTGAGACTGCCGGGCCACGTCATACAAGCCTTATGGGCTTTGACGAACCCGAACTTTGTAAAACGAAAAGAAAACAATTAATTATTATTATTATTATTATTATAAAAAAAATGAGCGACGGCGGCAAGCAGACAACCGGCAAACACAACAGTCTGAACAGATACCGCCATCTATGAGCGACGGCGGCAACCAGAGTGTTGTGTCGACATTTCTGTGCGGACGGACACGACCCTGGGCAAACTAGCCCTTAACAGCTCCGCTGTAAAAAGGGAATAAACTTTGCAGGGGTGATCGAGGCGCGAGGAACTATATGGTGGGCCGGAGAGATCAAGGTTCGCGGAGACCACGGGTTATAGTACAATCTGTGCATGAAAAAGTGCCGGTCTATTTTTCCCGAGGTGTCGAGAGTTTGCAGGACAATGGATTATTGTGAAAAAAAGACGCTAGTTTAGAAGTGGTTATGAGTGATAACATGAGTAGCACGATATGAACAGCTTCCAGTTGGTTATATAAAAAAACTTTGGTGAGGGTTTCATATCCGTGACGCATACACCAACCACGCTCTGACTAGTGTAATACAAGGTAAACGTTCAACAAAAGACTTCGCGATGAAAATATGCCTTGTTAAACCTCTTAATGTTTTGTGAGCTTTAGAGCAAGTGCAGTTTATGGGACTCTTCCATAATAAATCTTCAGAAAGGTACACCCCTAAATATTTAAATGTGTTCACCCGTTCAATTTCGCCAGAAAAATATTAAAAAACTGCTTTGTGATCTTGGCAATTAGATTATTTTATATTTATCCGGGTTGATGGTCATGAGCCATGAATGACATCAAGTTGCTAATGCTTCTAGATCTTGTTGCAAGGTTGTGCCGTCATCTATTGAAACAATATTTTGATAGAGCCCAAGGTCGTCAGCATATAATCGGACGGTAGAGGATAATGAAGAGGCAATATCATTTATATAAATTAGGAAAAGTAGCCGACCTAAAACAGAACCATGAGGGACGCTAGGGATGACATTCAGGGGAGGGGAAGTGTCATTATCGATGATCACAGATTAAATGTGATGTCAAAGGAAAGCTTGAATTCAGGAGACAACTTTACTGTTGAAGTTTAGGTATGTGAGTTTGGATATTAATTTTTTATGGGGGACCCGGTCGGAGGCTTTTGAAAAGTCTATGAAGATTTCATATGTTTGTTAGGAAATATGCAGATTAGTATGTAGATGATTGGTAGGTTTAAATAGTTGGGTAATACAATAAAGGTTGTGTGCATGTGAGTGTGACTTTTCATCCGCGCTGTTCCATCGAAGCATAAATTACCAACTTGTCCAAGCATCCCCATTAACAAAAACTACGTTGATTTTATAGTTTTCACAATAGAAAACGCTCTAAATGTATAATGAGCAAAAAAGTAAGAGCAAAAACGAGCTGGTGTAAATTAAATATAAGCACAGAAAACACCAAATTGAGGCAAAATATGGACAGCGCAAACATGTAGTCTACACTCAGGTTTCATGGTAGTGCTATCTTTCTATTGTCTCTGCCTCGGGTAATTTCGTCATTATGTGAAACAAACAGCTTTCTTCATTGTACAGTTTATATTCTTAAATCTTCCTTGAAATACGCTGGAATCAAATTTCTTACTGTTTTTCCCCTTTGTTTTTGTGTTTTTGTCCGCAGCTACAAGAGACCCTCCGCCAGTTCGTGAGACATCTGCAATGTGATTCAGAACTGTGCCTCGTTCGCAGGTGGTGCAAGAAAGGAGACTTTGTAAGCACCACCTTAAAACAAAAAAGTTGTTTTTTAATTGAAAAAAGAATTATTCAAACAATAATATATGTTTTCCCCCGCAGAGAACTCAGGCCGTCAGGCACTTTGAGGTAAGAAATTATATGATTCTACGTTACAGTTTCACTAGAAACCTTCTTGAAAGTAGCCGTAACATGTGTAATCGAACATCACCTCTTTAAACGTAAATTACAAGATGCCCATTTTCTCCCTTAATAAATTTAGATTTTTCCTCTCCCAATAATTACATATGCTTCTGCGCTCAAAGAAATCTAAAGCGACGACTTTCCCTCAATTCACTAGAGAAAGCCAATCGATTCAGCCGCCGACCAATCACAGCCTCACTTGAATGCACATGATGCAGTGATTGACCGGAGCCTGATCGGGTTCGGCCGTCTTTCTGACACGTCTGGTGACCAGTCAAACGGTTTGGTCGAGCATGACTATGGTCTGACCGGGCCCTCAGTGGTTATCATCGGTCGGGATATGAAGAAACACCTGCGAGAACGCCATTTCGGGGTTATAATTAAGCTGGAAGCAGCCGTCGTGGCGTGGGAGATAGACACTACCAAAAAGTGGTTCCAGCGGGCCATGGAGAGGCCGCCACACGGGTAGGGCAAAAAGTATGACCTTGAGGGGGAAGCTGTATGGAAGGTGCACATAAGCACCTATACCTCAAAGTGACGGGTATCTGCAGCAAAAAGAAATGTAAATCAGTGTGATACGTTTTATAGTTGCAAAGAAAAGAGATGAGACGCTACGGCTCGGGCTTATGCTTGTGAGACTTACCAATCTCGGATTGAGTCGTTGGTAAAAAAATAATACAAAGTGATATAAGTAACAGGTGACGGCCTGTCCTGATCAAAAATAAAATTTGGACATAATCTACTGCAATACAATTGATGCAAATGAAATGGTAAATTCAAAATGTAGCGTCTTGGGGGGGGGGGGGGGGGGCGTAATCGTATTCGTAAAAAAAGAAAAGAGGAAATAATATCAAAAGGAAAAAGGGGATCTATTGTCGCCCTGGAGTTTCGATCATCCGATAAAGGGGTGTCCAAACAGGACACTACAAAACGCACGACTCCGACAAATCGTGAAAATTGAAGCGGACGCGCCCGCTTCAATTTTCACGATTTGTCGGAGTCGTGCGTTTTGTAGTGTCCTGTTTGGACACCCCTTAAACGCCGGCCCGCAAGCAGAGAGAAGGAACCCGACCCTCACTTTCCTTCTCGCCGCTGTGAAAGGAGGAAATCACCTCTCGCTTCCTCCTCGCCATTTTCCGATATATATATATATTTTTTTTTTGCCAGCTGCCTGTTTTTTTTTTTTTTTTTTTTTTTTTTTTTACAAGTTTGGGGTGGAGGAAATGAAAGCTTCAAGGATTTGAAAAGATTATCCAGAAGCCAGCCGGCACACCTGCGACAAGGAGCTGAACCAACCGATGTAGCTGTTTTGAGCGAGCTTGGAACTTGCTCTTCCCAACGAGTTGCATTGGCTTTTTTTTAGCATTGGTTTGGAAGACGATTCTTTGCTGTTGTGAGAGCACAAATGCCTCGTTCTGCTCAAAGAAGTAGTCATTGAAGTATCAATTTTAATATAAATATCTGGTTTCGCATCTTTCGTTGTTTAGGCGAATTCATGGCGACAACGGGAAGTACGAGCAGCGTTTTCTGTATATCAGGGATGGCGCTCCATAGACCAGTGGTTCTGAATCATCATTGTTCGTAAACCGGCAGAGGGGACGGAGGATCCCATCCGTAGTGGGTCTAGCACTTTTCGGAGTAGAGCGTTTTGCTGTAGGGCATTTCGGTGCGGACTTTTTGGTGCACAGACATTTCAGTGTACGGACTTCTTGCTGCAAAGACTTTTCGGTGTGGGACCTTTCGGTGCGCGGATATTTCGGTGCACGGACATTTTGTTGCATGGACATTCGACGCTATGGTTTGCTCGCCGGTCTCTCTTTTCCAACGTACGCAGACACGCTTCACATCGTGTTTGTGCGTTGAGTTGATAGAGATAGTCTCCTCTATAAGGTTTTGGCTTTATTATTGGTCCTGCGTGTAGGAAACGACCCAAACAGCAAGGCGTTTGAGGTTGTTTGTGCATTCAGAACAATTTTGAATATCTTCAAATGCGCCTCCTCCGCGTAATCGCATAGCTCCGATTGTTAATAATAAATTGTAATGACCTCGCACGACAAAAAAAAGCAAAAAAAAACAACAACAACAACAAAAAACAATGTATTTATCACTTGTAACTCATTAGGGAATAAAGTAGGCGTGTGGGGGTACAAAATAAGTGTAATCAAATCAAATATCAATTTGAATCAAGCAAACAAGCCGAATTTGGTGAATGCTAAATCTATTTTATTTGGTATCAAATGTTTGCTCATTCTCGTACGAAAAAAAAAACAGCAGTGACCACAGATCATACACAGCGTATGATGATCTGTGGTCAACGTCTCCTTCCATGCCGTAATGATGTCGCCAGACGTAAAGAACTGCCTTACAATCGTGCTTATACAGAGCGATTTTTTTTAACGACTAGACATTTTTCTAAAAAAGACGTCAGAGTTACGCAATTGCGGTTTTTGCCTTATCTGTAGTCATCAAAAACACCAAATCATTCATTTTTAAAGAGATGTAGTGGACGTGAAGTGGCTCACGGCGTCCTAAAAAGCCTAATTTGGACGCGAATCGTGTTACCGCAAACTTTTCGGCCAGCGCACTCCTCGCCCCTTCTACAGTGGCGTTGTCACAACGATGCGCATGATTTGTCACTTTGGCTTCATGGCGTTAGGCTGTGCCACGCGGAGATGGAGCCCACATAAAATCAGAACTATATTTTCGCGCCCAAATTAGGAGGACGCCGTATAATAGTGTACGCGCGTTACATCTTTTTAGGAATGGACGGTTTGGTGGCTTGCGATTATGGCCAACAACTTTCTAAATACAAGATGCCGTTTTTTTTTCTAATTAAAAGGTTAATTAGCGAATTTTAGGCAATCGGTCGGTTTTAGTTGCGTACGTTATTGAACCTTATCCTCGCCTGGCCGTATAACTTACCTACACAAACCGCAATGGCGTTAATTTTCACTGCACAATTTGGTGGCTTTCGATTACGCCCAACAACTTTATAAATCAACTATCCCGTTTTCTTTTATAATCAAAAAGTTAATTAACAAATGTTAGGTAATCAGTCGGTTTTAGTTGCGTTCTTTCTTTAACCCAATCTTCGCCTGGCCGCATAGCTCACATCGACAAAACGTTAATTTCCACGTTTTTTGTAATATCTAGTAGGTGAAAAAAAACAATAAACAAACGTTGTATATAAAACAGAGGGCAGTTCTTTTCTGATATAAATAAAGCATGCATCTCTTTCTTTTTCCGGCCTATGAAAACAAATACCGGGACATTCGAAACTGAGTTTATGATGGGGCGGGCGCTATATTACGGGGTATTTTGTCATGTTTCATAAGCTTTATTACTAGTCAGAAGGAAGCCACGCGAGCCGTATCAGGTTGCAAACAGCTTATCGGGTGTTTCTCAAGCAGCTCTAGAACTTTCCAAATGACATTTTGGTTCTTAATACATCTAAAAAAGTTTGGTACTTAGTCCTAAACATTTAATTTATTAGGCATAATTAAAATACTGCAACTCTCGCAAGACGTCTGCCCAAAACAAAGTTGGTTTCATTGGCGTAAAGTGGCTGCGTCTTTCATTTTTATGCTTCGTCTTTAAAGATTCGTGAAAAGCATTCGCGACCTTATCTGTCAAGCCGCGACCGCGTACGCGGACAGCGCGGCCTCCTCGGCAAGTTGTTCCCTTATCGAAGACGACAATGAATAAAAGGTACGATCAAAATCTTAATGCCTGAAGAAAGCGCAAGTTTAAAATAATTCTAAGGGTGTCAGTTGATTTTATTTCTGCTATATTCAAATTTCAACACTCGTCGCGGGCAGCGTGAAAGGAAGCACTGCTTGGCGCGAACCAGTGCCCAGTCAACGGTCCTACACTCAAACACGCATCACCACCCGACCTGTTTGAAAAATAAATAATTTCCAGCACTTTTGGTAGAAAATGCGAATTTTTGTACTGAGCGTGATATTTTGTGGACCCAAAAGTCCTGTAACCAAGATCGGTAGTTCATAGCTTCAGGAAGACGAAGAACGACGGATGCATTATTGCCCACGGAAGTACTGTTTTGACTTTGAATTCCACATAAAATTGTATATGCACAAATTGTGACACGATACCGAACTTGCTTGATTACTTTTCTTTTAAAGACAACATAACCAGGCATAATCTACGGATATTGCAGAATTCATTTTAATTGGCGTGCTGCGCGAAAGACAAGTATGGACATAAAGAACACAACAGAGCTCTGCATTTCTACTGCATTTCTTTCCGTACTTGTGGACAGTTAGTCCGCATGAATATATTCAAAAACTGCGAAATCCTTTAAGCCTACCCCTTTTTATAGCTTTTTTCGTAGATGAATTGTGGCGAATCCCGGCTGGGTTCGGGTAAAGATCTCGCACGTGTTCAAGGACGCATTTCGGCATGATTTCCCGCTTGGTGACGACGTTGAGCTGACCGCTGTTCCGCTTCCTTTCTAAGTAGGCGGGGAACGCCAGACGCCTAAATTAGCCAAGCAGCCCTAAAACTTGCGGTAGCACACCTTCCGAACTCCTGGTTTTTTCTGGAGATGGCCTTCGCCCACCCTGACAAAGCCCCAAACAATTATGTAAGGGCTGCAGAGGCTATCTGGGCATTCCATTTCTTCATCAGCGAACAAATGCGAACAGAAGAGAATGAAAACTTCGTAATACCTGCTGTCTTTTAATAAATGGCATAATATGCTACTATTGCTAGTTGCACTATTTTACGCGAAGAAAATTGTGATTTTGCGGTTCAATCTCCGTGTTTTCCGTTCTCTTTGCTGATACGCAAGATATTTGTCGGGTGTGAAGTTTTCAGTTACATTTGTTGACAGAAACTAAATGCACGTTTGGCCACGAAGAAATTTTTTTCAAAGGCTGAAGATAGATGAAATATACCATAAACCGTTTCAGTTTTTATGGAAGTTTGTTTTTACTCTTCTTAGTAGCTTGAACGAGGCGGCCGTCACTCTAGAAAACACCTGTAGTACGAACCTATATATTATGCCCCAGAAATGGTCAGACTGTGTCTCTCTGACTGTAATATATTTGACTTGTAATTACTCATGATTATTAGTTTGTACAAAAAACAAACAAAAAAGAAGAAGAAAACACATTAGTGATACAATCACTCTTCAGAGTGCCGTTGTTAGAACGAGCAATTTTCAACTCTCTGGGTAGAGCTCAAAGTTCAAATAAAAATACCCATCTTCTTTCCTTCTGCTGTGATGTTCAAGTTCCGTTCACTCGAGATAAATATGCGGTGTTGTAGCGTGTGCGGCCGCATGCGGAAGTATCCGAATGTAAAAGAACTTGTTGTTGGGCTAGTTGGTGTTGACTATCTGAGTGTTTTTTAGAACTGCAAAAAAAGAGCAAAAAAAAAAAAATTGAGCCAGCTTGAACTTTTCCGAGCTCATATTCAGCCTGCCTAACTAATCCCTGGTGTTTGGGATTGAAGCAGAGAACCTTGAAGGGTGACAGAGATTTCGTCGGGGGGCCGGTAAGCCCATTAGCACTCGTGCGAGAAGGCCGTAAAAAGCGAGGAGGAAATGGAGGAGGAAAGGGGAGGAGGAAAAAAAGAAAAGAGGGGGAATCTTCTGCCACGCTGAAGAAAATTTTGAGCGCCCGCCTTTAAGATCGCCGAATAAGTAATCACGAAAGAGTCATCATTTAACACGCACCTTAAGTTGTCAGCGACATAGTACCACATAGCGTAATACGAAGTTTTTTTTTTATTTCCACAAGACATGAAGAAGCAAGAAAAAGCTACACAATCAAGAAAGAATGAGAGAGAGAGAGAGGAGAGCACGAGTGACAGATAAAAATGGTGGGGGGCAACGAAAGATTTTATGCGATAGGCAATAACAGTTTAAGGAAAGCAGGACGGAATGAGCCCCGAGCTCTTCATCATAGCTCAAAGGCCAATTAGATTGCTGCCTGATCCGATAAGAACACCAAAGAACGAATCACAAAACCGGAAGCTAGAACATATTAAGCCCCGACCTGCGTTGTTGTTGTCTTTTTTTTTTTTTTTTTTTTTTTTTTGTTTAAGCCGTTAGTTTTAATAACACATAATAGAGTTCATATAAGCCAGCCGTTATTACAAACATGATTACGGAAGTACACTCGGTGATACTTGAAAAAAATCTACATACGTAGAATACGCTTTTGAGTGTGTAAATCCCTTTGCAACTGTGTATGTAGCCAGATTAAAACCGCTGCTTCCCCATAAAAAAGCCATTTGTTGTCGATATTGTCACAATATCACTTACACCATTCAATGGAAGTGAGGTCCCATCCGGGAGCGACATCTGTTGAGGCGGAAGAACTATTTTTTCCAAAGGCTGCCAAAGTCTGCTCCGTATCGAGTCAGCAAAATCGTCTAAATATGGCAGGCGGCGAATCGCTCCGTCGAATTCAGGTAGTAGTTTATTCAATCGTGACGCATGCGCGTCTCGCATTTATATCACGTTTCCACCAAGTTACCCCTCTACAAAAACACGTTCTACACTAAGAAAATATTAGCGCCCTTGTGGACAAGCCGCTCCAATTTTGTTTTTATTTTGATAGTCGATCCCCAAACAAAAATACTTTATAAACGGGCGTTTCGCTTTACTCGAGTACTAAAAATATAACGACGCTATATCAACAAAAACGCAACAAGATCTGTTTCAATCGTAAACCGGAGACACGGAAAAATAAAAAAAACGGACAAAACAACAACAAGTCTCAAACACAGCTTGAGAAGCTGTGTTTGAGACTTGTTGTTGTTTTGTCCGTTTTTTTATTTTTGTGTGTCTCCGGTTTACGATGGAAGTTCTTCACCAGCTCGCCTGTGCTTTTACCCTTTTTTCGAAGATCTGTTTGCCCATCAAATCTACTGATCAGAGTTTGAACTCGGGTACAGTCACTGGCTGCGCTTAAATGGATACGACAGTAGAGCATCGAGTCGAGAGGGAACCGATCACATGCTCCCAGTCCCTCGGCTTCTTTCTCTCTTACCCAATCACAATCGTCATCTGTCGAACCAATGCGCTACGTTCGCATCCATGTATGCGCGTCTACATGGCAGCTTAGGAAACAATTAGGGCGCTGATTATTAGGTTTAAACTTCTCGCTTTGTGATTCCATATTCAACACTCTTACCGGATAATGCCGAAGTCTGATTGGCTACGGAGCGGTAATAAAATGCTCGTAACATTGCCGCGTCCCGCCTTTTTGGAACTGTTGGTGATTATTGTGTGGAGTATTCATAGATAAAACGCATCGCTAATGTTCAAGTAATTTCCCTCCTATTGATCCTGTGATAGGATGCTGAGATGGTTGTATTCGTGAGATAAGCTGATGGACTCGAGCAATGCCACGCTTCCTTCTTTCTTTTATCACATATAGGCTGGTTCGTGATCAGAAGTTGGCGAGCTGCGTTTTATTACTGTGAATAACAGCACCAGCACAAAAAATATTTCAAATACGCTTTAAAAAGAAACCTATAAGGTTTACTTCCATGCACAGCCCTCGGGAGAGCCAGTCGCTAAAATCCACGGAGTGAGCTCGGCGTATTGTAAAGCTGGAAACATGTTTAGACCACAAACCACAGTCTGCGCTGCGACATTGAGCATGGCGTAATCACGCAAAACCTCATGCGCAGTGTCAAGGCGCAGACAGTATTTTTTAGGCCTAAACATGCATTCAACGCGAGGGCATTAAGGACCTCGTGTCACAGAAGAGCCGGCGTCGGCGTCGGTACGACGGAAAAATCCTTATTAGTCGATAGGGTCATGACGTCACTGTCACGTGACTCCGCGAGGGAATTAAAAAATAGCCCACAACGCTCACGTGAAACGTGACGTCACGCGTGAAATGAAAGTGATTTAAACATGACATCGGGGGGGGGGGGGGGGGTAAAGCGAATTCAAGGTCGCCGCAAGTTTCAAATTATTTCACTTTAAAAAGTAATTCATTTGCCTTAAAGAAAAAAAAATGAAGAATTTTAGGCGGATTACGAACCCGCGATGCTTCGGTTGCGAGCCAGGCACGCTACTGACTAAGCAACGCAGACACGCTTGCACAGCTTGGGAACGAGAGGGGTTTGTATGTTTAGCTGTCGCGTTCTACTCGTAAAGGCGAAGCTTAAGCCCCCCTGTATTAACCTCGTCATTAGCCCATCAATCTGTCCATAGATTGCTGCTATTGGTCCTCCCAAGTGCTTTGTGGGAAAGTAAAGACATCCTCGCTTTACGCCCCTGCCAGACGGGCTCCTTAAATGCCCTCAGAAAAAACTCTTTTAAAAGCTCGGCGACTCAGCGAATGACAACGGCCGCGAGATCGGGAGTCGATTTACCTATTCGAGACGTTTGTTGTGAACACCGTTAACGTGTCCGTCTGGCAGGGGATTTATGAGTCTATGCGGGGCACCCTTGTATATAGAAGTATTTTGTTGTTTTGTTTTGTTTATAGTCCTAAGATGAATAATTATTCTTTACGCGCGCAGTATGAACACTTCATGGAGCTCTACGACGCAGCTCAACAGTGTCAGGAGCTGACGCCCCTTGCAGCATCGCAACCCACTCGCGTTCAAGGCTCGATCTGGAAGGCATTCGTCAACTGGATTCGTTTTATGATAGTCTCTCAAAACTAGCGTTTGCAATCTTTAAAAATAAGAGTTTTGTTCGTCGCTTGCTTATTCCAGTGACTTAAAATTTATATGAAGAAATGGGTACTCGCAAAGAATAAACCTTTGCCAAATAAAATACTGATTTAAAAGGTTTTGGTTATTGCCCTTCGTGTCAATTTATTCAAAATAACCCCAGATTCAAACTTTCTTGAGCTATGGTGTTGGTGCACACACAATACTTTTGTCATGCTAGTTTGTTTTATTCGAGTAGCTCTGGCAAAGCTTTTGTTTAAATTTCAGCATACTTATCTTACCATGAGTTTTAAAAGACACAACAGAGTGCCATTTACCGAAAAACTGGGAAAGTCGGACACAAAATGTGGCCATGCAACTACTTTCAATCTCTAGTGCGATCCCCTCGTGTCATGCAGTACCTACATATTTATACTGCAGTTTCACCCTGTGTATTTGATGTGATTCTCGGTGATGTGATTTGTTAGGTATTAGCCGTTTATGACACATTCTAGCAAAAAAACAAAATGATCAAATATGTTTTTCTTTATTATTAGAACCATGGGTTTTCAAATAGTTTGTGTGTTATATTTTTTGCTTCGTTAATATGCTCGTTTTATTAAGGAGTTGTGTATAGCGCCATTTATGACTGGCAAATCAAACGATGTGAGTAATACAAGACGGCCCGTCGCTCGTTGTCACGCACACCCACTCTTGAGTTTCAATTAATACATATGACTCGTTTCCACTAAAACTTTCCGTTTACCCTTAAAAAATATCCCCGAATTAAGTACCCTTGAAGTACTAGTGTCACAGGGCTTCGAGGTGAATAAGGTATAACTTGTGCGCCAATAAACTCTGTAACACAAGCTGTAGAATTCGATTTCTGCGGGTTCTGCCAAGCGCTCGACACGGTGTCAGAAATGAAGTTCCACTGTCTCTAAAGCTTCGGGCGTCGCCCTGCTGCTGCGGGCTGCGACTTGTACTCGTGGTTTTGGAAACAAGCCGTCGCTGGAGTCGCAGGCATTCACCCGATCCTTTGGAATGGCCGGCGTAAATCGTGATATTCGATGACTACAGCCACACGTCCGAACTTTTTGACGCAACACAAAGAAACACGGAAACGCCCTCTCCTCTACATGTCACGGATCAATCGCTCACTTTGTCCAAGCAATGCCTGTCGTGGCTTAACGGGCGGGTACAACTGGACCCACAGAAACTGCGTACCAGTGCGTTACCGCGCCGTAAAACACGACCGACCGGTGCGGCTGTGCTCCGTTACACAATCGAGGGTTCTGGGGAACCGTTTTTGCGCATCCGATACGGTATGATTGGTCCTCCAGTACGAACTGCGCGTGCGCTACTACAGAAGACCCGCATATGCGCAGTTCGTAGCGTATCGGATGCGCGAAAACGGCCTATTGGTTTCGCTGTCAATAGCGAACGCACAAAAACGACAAGCACCATGACGATGCACTTTTGGCGCCGCTTGATCTTCTCTATCGCATCGCAACATTTTTTTTTTCGGATTTAATGTAAAACGGAATTATATATGAAAGCCTCGGTGACCGCCCGACCAGCGACTGCAGGCTACGTTCACGGATTACGAGGAAAGGCACTCTGGGATGCTCTTCGGTCGGGCGCGACGCGCAATTCCTAACGTCAGCGCTAGACGGGGCACGACGACGAGTCTGTTAACCGTCAGCAGCAGCTGCATGGGGAGGGCGAAACGCGAGCTATCTGTTCGGTCGGAAGGCTTCGGCCACTACGCGTGCAAACTCGCGCGTGCCTCGCTTAGCGAGAAAGCTCGAGATGTCTCATGTCACACTCGTAGCATTGGATTGTTGCGCTATGACGTTGAGCAATCCGTAATGCGTCATATTGCATAATCGCACATTGCGGAATTGCTTAAGACCGTTTTTTTTTCATCGTAACTCAATAAGTTATAAGAAAGCACGAGTGAACTTATTATTCGTTTATTTATTTTAAATTATGAATATAAAGAGGACGTCAGTTACTGAAGCAATAGAGGTAAAAATGGGGTTTCATTTCATGCAAGTTTTGAAAAATTATAAGTAAAAAATTCCTATTGGTGAGGTCGCTGGCGCGACGTTGTCAGTGGGAATTTTCTTTTTCTGCACCAAGGTGGTGGCAAAGGTTGATCTGGAATTGAAAATTTTATTTATTTATTTATTTTTAAAAGAATGGTAAACCGCAATTTGGATTTTTTTTTTTTTTAATGCAGGAGATGTAGGCGGGACGCTGCAATCCATACAACACTATTCGTAAAGCGATATCTCGAATGGACGGCCGTATTTTTGGGAAAAGAGGTCGAGATTGAACCAGGCCGACGATGCGCGTGGCGTAGATATCTCGTTTCCTCCTCTCTTCGCTTCGCCCCCTCAAGGCGGCGAGGCGGAGAAGACGCGAGGCCGTTCCCTTTCCTTTTCAAAAAAACATGACGTGAACATTTCTGCCAAATGCGCCTCCTTCTTTTGAAAAATACGTCATTCGTTTGAGATATCGCAGTATGAGTGGAGTTTTGGTGTTTGTAGAATTCCGTTGCACGCTTTTGCCGCGTGTTTCGTGGAATCCAGATTTCGGTTCAGCATAACGAAGGCGATAGATATTGCGACGAGGTGTAATATCAGATAGGTTAAGATTAGACTTAATTAAATTATCACCTTCCGTCTGGGAATAGTTCCAAACAGAAATGAAACACGTACAGAACGATTTCGGTTGACTTCAAAGTTGAGAACAATATCCAGTGCATATGAGGGTCAGAAATGACGACTCGGGGTTTGTGTTCAGATCGCACCAACGTTTTAAGATACTTGTTTGCCATGAATCGGGGGTGTCCAAGCTGCGGCTCGCGAGCCGCATGCGGCTCTTCCCATGTTAAAGTGCGGCTCGCGGCTCCCTCCCCAACCTTCCCCCCCCCATCCCCCGGGGCCCCGCCTCCCTGCCGGTCACAAGAGCGCGTCCCCCTCAAAAAAAGAAATGACTGCTTTCGACTCGGATAGACTAAAGTAGTTTTGTTTTTTGCTATGTACAAAAATTTGCCCCCCCCCCCCCCCCCCCCCCCCCCGCGGTTCTTGGAAGTTTTGTGGCCTGTTCGCGGCTCTTAGGCCGGGTCAGCCTGGCCACCCCTGCCATAAGTGATCGAGTTTATGATTAGCATTGCATGTTATGTGTACAACGTGAGTATGCATTAGAAACTATACTACCTATTGATTAACTCTAACGGTCAGTCATGTCATTCTGGTTTCTAGCGCGGGAAACTTAAAACCGACAAAAGCATTTACACTCTTCTTCACGATATGATTTCGATGAATACTAGAGCTTTCAGATGTTGACGGTGATTCAAATTACATACCAGGGGACTAAATACTTGGCATTATCGAGAGCTGTGCTGGTGGAAGTTCCCACACTTTCAGTATTGGACAAATCGAATAACACAGACAGGCGACACGGGAATGAGAAAGATCAAAGGATAGTTGTGCGAGAGAAGTAGGTGTAAAAAAGAATACGCTGTTGTTGTTGTTGTTTTTTGTTGTTGTTTTTTTGTCCTGTCTTCTACAAAATAGTTTTGAGACGGAGACGACTGACCTCAATAAGAAGCACGCGTTAGCGCTGAAAATATTTTTGGTCTAAATACGCATGCAGGAGCACTTCTCTGAGATGGAACAGAATGCTTCACTTCACAGAAGTTTATTTTTGGAGTGCTACATTCTGAAAGCGAAAAAAGAGTAGTGTATTTTACGCATATACTTAACATGTCAATGACCATCGTCGTCTTCAAAATGCTTGATCGCATAGCTTGACTGTACCTCTGAGGTATGGTACTATCTTTTCGGTGTAGTAAAGAAACATATTAGGGGGCGATATATTCAAAAGTGATTATCTCACTGCCGCCACACGTTGTAACGCACAACATGTATAAACTTGAATGTAAACAATGCCTTCAATATTACATTATTGCAACGATCAAGATTCCAAGCCTTGTTTTCTTTAAGCCACAGTATACGGTATGTCTTTTACTAGTGATGAGTGTCAGGAAAGAAGGTACCCCGACGGTAGTCAATAAGTTTGATTAAAACGAGTGTTGCGCTTTCAGCACAATTTGGCTTCAGAAATAATTACCGCATTCTCATATGTCCGGCTAACAGCCTGCTGTAAGTTAAATGACCAAGGCACTGGAGATTATAGTTGGTATGCACCATAAAACAAGCATTAGTGTCGGTTTGTTGAGTTTTACTCAGTATGAGAATTGCTTAGATGACTTAAAGAGACACTAATAGCCCTCCTCGCCCCCACCCCCCACCTTCTAAAAAAACCATTTTTTGCCAGGCGATTTAGGATGCTGCCAGAAGACCACCCAATGAACATTTTGCTACAGAGTGACGTATATTTTGAATAAAGACACAAAACGCAACTGCTCAAAACCAAAATTTAAATATGTGCAGGGAGGCTCCGAGGAGACAACTGCCGGAATTCGCGTGGCTATCGCTCTCTACCCTGTATTTTTCCCGTTTCTCCGCTTCTCAGCAGAAGACGAAAACGAGGACTTTGCTTGAAGCGTCTGTCGTGCGATTCTTTCTCACTTACATCCCTTCCACTCAATGTTCAGCACTTGAAGATCGATTGGCCGGTGTCACGAACGACAGTTCCGAGGCAGCGGCCTCACGTCCGTGACAATGTTGGTCCGTCTAGGGCCGCCATCGCGTCGTTCAGCCCGCGGTACGTCGCCATTTTGAGAAAATGACGTGTACATGTACTTCCTTTTTTTTTTTCTTTTTCGATCAACGTATTTGCAGTTTTTTGGAAGCCAGAAAAAATGGTTTCATATTTTTTTCTATTTTTAATACTGAATGTGTGTTTTAGATGGCCCAGAACTTAGAATATATTTGATATTCATCAATTTCAACGGCACGTGACCATAGGAATAGAGTGAAGGCGCCTGAAACCGGCCAATTCTCGACCGGCGGTTTTTGGGTGGAAAGAATCCAAATTTCGAGCCGGGAATTGTGTTTTGGGTAATTCGGCTCTCATAGGCCATGTTCAGATAGAAACATCAGCATAAATTAGTACCATGTTAGTGGCCCTTTAAGTTCACGTCACATCAGCTGCCATTGTGGCAGTCTTGCAGCTAAGGGTGTGCCTTTTTCAGTTGTCCTGTCCTGTCCCCTCTTCGTTTCCTTGGTGTTTGCGCTTTTGAATTTTTATACAATGTGTAGCCAACTAGCCCAACAGTTAATTTTGATTGCATATCGGACCACCGAATTTGTTCTCCTCGACAAGAGCAAGTTCAAATGATCGCCAACATGTTGCAACTCTGTCACGTGCGAACCACGTCTAAAATATTACATAAAACCAAACTGATGGCGAAGCGTCGACAGCATCACAGTTCGAATCATGCCATCGCATAACGTTTGTGTGAGGCATTAAATAGTGCTCTTCAAATTCGTTGTCGTGTCTACCGACTCCCGGACTCCTACAGACCTTTACCCCCTTGTAACCCTAAAAAAGAAGTAATAAATATTCGCGGTACCTCATCAGGGGCTCCCCGGAGTTATCTGGGAGCGTCTGTGTCGGCAAGAAACCCGACCAGAAAGATAAGACAGGAAAAAATGAGTTTCATCGTTTATTATTATCAAGGTGTGTGCATGCGAAATATGAACCCACGCTGCCTTGAAAACTGTGTGTGCACCATTCCCGCTTTGCCCAAAGTCCTGACGGAAACACGGGAGTGCCATGAAGATTCTCTTTTTCACTATGACTGCCCTCCTTCTTTGTTACTCATCTGTCAGTCTGGACTACTGCGGTGAGTAGAATGGGCCGACGAATGGCTAGCTGACGTTTAATTTAAGAATATTAAGCCTCCTTGTTTTCACTCTTACTGCATCTATTGTTTCACTGGTTTTGTTGTGTTTTCAAATAATTTGCCTCGACTGTGACAATTTTCTTTACGCAAAAAAGTGAGTGTAAATAGTGCCGTAAAGGGCATCTGTCTCCACGTAACATTAAACCTCAAAATTTATGTTTTGTTACCTTATAGTTGGGCACGTTACTCTGAGAGCCTCTTCCGTTCAGAAGATCCTGCATTACGGTTACTGCTGAAATTACACATTTTGCAAAACCTCTTAGAGGCCTTTTAATATATGTGATTTCACTAGAGGGTTGTCAATATTTTCAAATGAATTTAAAAGTTAACGCACAAATGTTATGGCTTTTTGTCAGAACTAGAGTACCCCGATCTGCACAAATGGGCCGTCTGCGTCGGGTTGCATTCAAGCGTCAACGTAAGTTGATTTGAAAGTTGTGAAAATGAAGCATTAATTATTCTCTTAGTCTTTTTTTTTTAGAACGCAGCTCTTAGGGGCCCGTTCCCGGCTTGAGCGGCGTCGCCGTCGCCGTCGGCGTCGCCGTCGGCGTAACCAAGGTCATCCCAAGGTCACGGGACCCCTCCAGGTCACGTGACCCCCAAGGTCCCGTGACCCCTCCCAAGGTCATCTCAAGGTCACGTGACCCAACGTGACTCCCAAGGTCACGTGACCCCTCGAGGTCACGTGACCCCTCCCAAGGTCATCTCAAGGTCACGTGACCCCAAGACCCCACGTGACCCTTTGAAGGTCACGTGACCCCCAAGTCACGTGACCCCTCTGAGGTCACGTGACCCCCGAGGTCACGTGGTCTCCTCCCCAAGGTCACGTGACCCCCAAGGTCACGTGACCCCTCCCAAGGTCATCTCAAGGTCACGTGACCCCAAGGTGACCCCCACGTGACCCCCAGGTCACGTGACCCCTCTGAGGTCACGTGACCCCCCCGAGGTCCCGTGACCCCCTCCCCGAAGTCACGTGACACCCCCCCCCCCCCCCGAGGTCACGTGACCGCCCCCCCGGAGCATATTAAAGAATGAGGAGAGGAGGAGGGGTCTACCCTCCCCTCAGTACCCTTCACTCCTCCTCCTCAAGAGCTGCGCTCCAATTCGGCGTTACAGGGATTTGTAAACGGCTTTCACTTTTTTGCTAAAACAGTTTGAGATTTTGCTTTCAAGACATCATTTCTTAACTCTACCACAGGCGTTTATAAACAGTGATACTCTTTATTGTATAAAAGCTTGACTGGGCGAATGTTTAACTTCCCTGAACAACCTGATGGATGTTATAATTTCCAGTTGAGGACAACAATATTGGAAGTTGGAAAAGCTCTTTCCTGTCGCAACTTCTTGTGCACATTTGGAAAGTTTTGTCTAGAAGGAAGCCCGGTGAGTTCTGCCAGCTTCTTTATTATTACAAGGTTTTAATTACGACCTCCAGTTAAACAAAACGCAATTTCGAATATTGTCACTGTGACAAAAAGTTTTAATACCTTTTTTTTCTACGTCTTTAGGATACGGTACTCCCAGTCCACTTCACGGTAAGCCAACATCAATTGTATGTTGCAATTAACTTTACACGCCCCCACAAGCTTGGAGCCCCGCTTGCGGGGCCTGCCCAACAAAGATATACCAGGTGATATATAACCCGAACCACATGAAGGAACACACAACAAAACTGGGCGAGCCCCCGTTCAAGCAAAGTTCCAACTTTATTCAGCTACATTTAATTTACTGAGAGGACCATTTGGGCACACAACCGACTCCGTTTATCAAGTTTGACGAGCCCTGCTTACAGCCGTTCTCTAAAGTACACTTTTTTTTCATTGCTTTTCTGGATATACATCTGCATGCTTTACATAGGGAAAAAGTAACAAAGCCTAACACGTCCCCTCTCTTTTAGAAAGCTACTGGTGCAGATCAGTTAGCAATCTACCATGTAAATACATAAAAGAAAACCTACTACGTGAAAAAATACTAATGATCGAGCGATATGTCATAAGTCAACAAAATGTTCCGCTGCTTTTTTTTTGTTTAAACCGCACTGTCTTGTACAATTCTTAGATAGTCATTGATAACAGAATGTTTAAAAAGATTAAAATATGTCGTGTTTTTTTTCTGGTTTATATCCATAACAATTTCGTCTCTCCATTATACGAACTTTGGCTAAACATTGGACGCATCGCTAAAGTAACAACATTATCCTATTAATATACTGTAGACAGATAACATAACATTTAGTTTTGTGATTCATTGCGACCGCAATATAAAAAATGAGGTGAAAACGTTCTAAAGTTGTATTGAAGTATATATACAATTTGTTTTCTTTTTTTTTTTTGCAGGCGGAGCATATTGCCGAGCTAGAAACACTGTGGAAAGAGTGCAGCCTGGGAAACTGACTAAAAAACAAAGCAGGCTTTGACTCTAATTTGGGAAACTTGAGCAATAAAAAATTACATAAACAGTGATTTTGTTAGAAAGTGGAGTAATCTCTCACCAATTCGCAGTTTGGCTTTTACCAGCGTGTACATCTCGTCTGCCTTCAATGCAGTCAAAACAATTTTAACTGACTCGAATTTTTAAAAAAACGTTATGTTCGAACTTAAATTGCAAAGTATAAATTCTTGTGTCTTTGAAGTATTAATATATTAATTTAAATCCTCAAAAAACTACGGTGGTAGTTTAACCACAGCCCTATATATATATTAATAGTAAGGTACACACGAAATTGATGGCAAGTCACTAATTTTCCTAATGATAGGGTAATGCTTAAAGGAACTATCAAACGAAAACTGCGAGTGAGAAACCATCTTAGCTTTTCTTCCTTGTTGGATTCTGTCATGACTCATCTAGGCTCCCCAATGACATGTGCATTACTTCAGGATCATGGGATGCGTGGGTTGCAGACGTTACTTTCTTATTTTTGTTTTACCTCAACGGCCAATGGTTTATCTGTCACTCTCGCAAAGGTGATCCGATGAGCAAGGCTCCCGTGAAAATGGTTAATCAGTTTTTAACTTTTTTTTTTCTTACGTGAATAAAACCTACATAAAAGTATGAAATCTTCTCCATAAAATAAGAGCAGTGCGGCGCTCTAATGATTTACCATCTCTGTTACTGTAGACAATACCAATCCGAATAAATCCAAACCGCTCCATTAAAATGTGGTCTTCTCCAGCAGTCAGCGTAAGGAGCGAAAATTTAAAATATTTTAACTTACTGAATCAGTACAAATACGACATTAGTCGCGATGTAGTTAATCTATTAATTGGTAGATTCATTCATTAAGTCTACAACCCCAGCATTTAGATGTACAAAAGTAAATCCGCAGTAGTGTATATTGAAAACATAAGGTCCTTGAGAGGCAGACGTCCCGCAAGGATTTTATTCTTGCTCTTAAATTAGACTGCAACGAAACCATGGGTGATTAATACATTATTTAGACTATCCTAGCTTCATTTAACAGTTTCATAGTCTTACTATAGTATATATATATATATATATATAATACACACATCTGGGGCTTTATGCTACACGGCGGGACCAAGCGGAGCAAAGGGACAGGAAAAAGCCGTCTGCTGCGATTAGTCAACGGCGCGTCGCTGACCAATCGCAGCAGACGGTGCTGTACCGGTCCTCTGGTCCCTCCTGGTCCCGCCATGTAGCATAGGGCCCCAGGTGACTTCAATCAAATATGCGTGGGAAAGAGAGAGGAAAATACTCTTACACTGTATAGGACATGTATACTTAGGTGACTAGCAGTGACTGCAGCGAAAATGAAACCCGTTCCGGAAAGACAACTCGAAGACGCTAGATGGCAAAGAACCTCCTGACAAAGGCAAAAACTTTATCTCTAAAAAAACTTATCTACAGCGAAAACCAAAGAAAGGCTTCCAACGTGGAAAGACAGCAGAAAATAAAATGGTTTCGTCTATCTAGGCAGGTGCTTTTACTGCAAGTAAATCTCAGGTGTTGCATTTCTGGACGAGTATCGCAGAGCGATATCCGATACCCGCGTGCTAATATAAGGTCCAGGAGTGTGTCTCTTGTGCGGCTTCTTCAGAACTTCCACAGGAAGCACACAGCACAGCCATGAAGTGCGCAGCCGGTCTCCTGGTTTTCGCTTCCCTTGTCTTCCTTGTTTCTGCCGATCACAAAACCGTGTGCGGTAAGTCTTTGCCGCATCGACTTACCTGAGATTGAATGCATTAGAAAGGGCAGGTCACTTTGTATTACTTTGTTAAGCCTTTTCTTGATCAAGACTTAAGTAACATTAGCCCCAACAATACTTGCAAGTACAAAGACACCCCACCCCATTCATGGTAAATCATTACAGGAAGTTGCTTATGGACGGCAAAAACTAAAACAAGACTTTCGAAGAATATAAACGTGTTTTAGGGAAGTCTCGTCAGCACCCAACGACTCAGAAAGAATGGTATTAGTAAGAGCTCATAACTTTTCCGTCCGCTGCATCCCATTTTTGCGAGACATGGCCCTCTATAGTTCGTATAAGTACAGTATCAGGAGTAAGCTCGTAATGCGTGAGATTTTGTTTATAAATAAAAAAAAAAAACGAACAAGGTTCTGGGAGCATCAAATCTTGTTTTTAGAATGTTATAGATGGTGAAAAACTTATGCCATGTCGCCGTCAAGACTGGTTCATAAATAAAAAATATTAACTTTATGAGCAATATCTAGAATTTTTACTCTATTTTCAGACCTTCAGGATGCGGAGTTCACCGCATTGGCGAGTTGCGTTCGTACCGCTCTTGGTGATGGAGATGTAAGTTCAAGATTTCTACGAAGAAACCATTGTAACCGATCGTGTCACTTGAGTCGCTCACAAGTTTATAACGTAACCTTCCTAGCAGCTTTTTACAGTATTGCCAGGAAAGAAGTGAAACGGCGGACATCAATTTTCTAATAAAGAAACTTCTGTAAGGTTGCTATGTCACATTGGCTTGCTCTCCTCATGTGAAATTCTAACATGAGACATGTCTAGACATTTTCGTAAGAAGTTATTTCAAGCCGAACCGTATGTCTACTCAAACGTTTCGTATGATTCATTGTAAATGCAACACATTTAAAACCTGCAGGATTTGAAATTAAATAAAATATATAAAGTACCCAAAATTATCACAATAACACTCTGTCAAAGCTACCAGCCCGAACTGTTTTTTTTTTTTATTTCTATTGTCGCAAATCATTTTCCCTTGTTATAAGGAATCGTCATAGCCATAGTCGCACTATTTTGGTTTCGTTGCTCTCTCAGTTTAAGCTGATACCACACTACAGTTTAAGCTGACACCACACTACGACCATTAATAGCTAGCACGTAGAAGTGGAACTTAATATTTTGTTCTAGTCATGGGGACACAATATTGTACCTCGAAACACGATATAACACTTCTGCGAGCTTCTTAATCGCAAAACCTCACTCGTCAAACGTCCAAGCACTCTTTTCCTTCTTTTTTTTTTTCTTTTTTTCATTCCTAATACGCTGAAATGATTTATTTTTTGTATGAACTGGAGTTTTCGATTCATGTATTTTGCCTTTTATTGCAGTCAATGTAGTCTAGTACAGTGGTGGCCAGGCTGACCCGGCCTAAGAGCCGCAAACAAAACCACGAAACTTCTAAGAGCCGCGGGGGGGGGGGGGGGGGGGGGCACACGTTTGTTTAGAACAATAAACGAAATTTGAATTACTTTCAACCTATCCGACTCATAAGCAGTCCAATTGTGCTGAACGTAGCAGTAGCACAAGACAACCAAACCGCAACCTGTCTCAATTTAAAACGGGTTTGATTTCTTTTTTTGGGAAATTGCTCTTGTGACCGAGAGGGAGGAAGGTAGGGAAAGTGGGGAGTTGGGGAGGGAGCCGCGAGCCGCACTTGAACACGCGAAGAGCCGCATTCGGCTCGTGAGCCGCAGCTTGGCCACCTCTGGTCTAGTACAATGCCGATATACTAACTCGCTTGGGGTCTCATCTCGGCACGAAAGGACATTTTAGGAGCGAAGCTCCTTAGGGTCTAGCCTTGTCCGTCCGGCGTCCGCGCTTACATCGATCTTGCTGGTGCTCGTGCTCGTGATCGTGCTCGTGAGCTTACGTGCTCACGTGCTCGTGTACAGCAAAAAAAAATAATAATAAAAAAATGCGTGCACGGTCGGCAGGATTTGAAACTGTGCGTGGAGACCCCAATAGATTTCTAGTCCATCGCCTTAACCACTCGGTCACGACTGCGGGACGAATGGAAGCTCTGAGGTGTGGTAGTAACTCAAGAGCTGGCGATGTCATGGATGAAACGTTGCATGTAGCCGCTCAACGTTTATACAGGAAAGGGCGCTGCGGTCAAATGCGTATATAATCGCGCTAAGCTTTGCATGCATTGACTCAACGTTTATAGACGAGGGGGCGCTGCGATCAAATGCTTAAATGCGTATATAAGCACGTTCCATACCACACATTCTCTTTCTGACATGGATGAAAACGAACGAAAGACTCGTCATGCGGCGGCTCAGCGTCTAGGCAGACAAGCACCATAAGAGCTTCGCCCCAATCAACATCGTTCACCACGTGGAGATGCATTCATTTTTTATGTTATACATTTAAGGAAACTTTCTGCAATCAACTCGTTAAGTTATCGTTGGCTATTTAAGAATATCACGCTTTTTATCAAGGGCTACACGCCTCATAAAGAGAATAAAAAGCATAAAGAAAAAATAATTAAAATATTCGAGTCAAATAACCTAGTCCAGTATCTTAAGCGCTCTGCTTTCTCAGATTATTTCATCCAATCGCACAATGCAGAAAAGTCGTGTGCCCGATGAGTAGATGTGCGAGCTTCTGATCACCCTTTTTCATGATCTGTTGTTTTAAAAAGCACCGCCATCGTGTTATAAGCAAAATGTAACAAATAGTAAATATTTAAAAATTAATTACTTCTATATTATTTATTTCTTATGTCCAGCACTTAGTTCGCTGTTAGTTAGAAGGTAGACCCTTCTTCGGTAGCAGCTCAACATTTTCTGTACCTCGTTACACTGTGAGGAAAGCGAAGGGAATGACCAAAAGAACTCCTAATCTTCTTAAAAATTAGAATCGGAGCTGGTATTTGTTAGGTTTAATAATGATATAATGTTTTGTGGTTGTTGTAATTGTTGTTGTTGTCGATTTGTTTGCAAGCATTTTACTCTTTCTCGTGATAATGTCCCCTCACATTTTAGACACTCCTAATTATTTTCATACAAGCTTTAATGTAAATGGTTCCAAAACTAAACTATAATCGCCCAGTGTGATTATGCCGCTTTTAGTGCCGTGCTGTTGCGCTGGAAGGTAACACTGTTTTTTCACACAGGTGTCCTAATAAAAAGTGTTCGACATCATTGTGTTTTCCACCCTTGTGCTCACAATAAACTTGCATTACCCACGTTTTTCTAACGTCAGTCGCATCCTCTCACAGCTCGCCAAGAAGCTCGCGACAATCCGGGCAAATGCTGACTGCGCTACAGACGCTTGCCTCCATCGCAAGTTGTGCGAACAAGGCACTCTGGTGCGTATCTAAAAATGTCTAATCTCTAAAATCGTAAATAAATGAGAACCTTCGGCACTCATTACAAACCCGACTTTTTCGGCTTGGTCGCTAACGTCAGTAACGGTGAAATAAAAAAAAAATCAAAGTCGTTTACAAATCTCCGTAATGCGAAAATAGAGCGCAGCTCTTGTGGAGGAGAAGGGGAGGGTACGGATGGGAGGGTAGACCCCTCCTGCTTTTCCGTACCCTCCACTCCTCCTTTCTTTCTCCTTCCCTCCTCGTCTTTCTCCTCTGCTCATCTTCCTCCCTTCCTCCTCCTGCGTACCCTCCCATCCTCCTCCTCCCACAGTTTCCCCGCTAAATTTAGCTGGAAAATTGATGCCACGTGACCTCAACACCAATTTAGTTTTCCCCGCTAAATTTTAGCGGGGAAAATGACGACGCCTGACTTCGTGTCACTACACAGATGAACAAATTCGGTTTCTCCGCTAGATTTAGCGGGAAAATGGACGTCACGTGACCTCAACACGAATTCAATTTCCCGCTAAATTCAGTGGGGCGTTTACGCCGACACCGACGCGGACGGCGACGCCGCGAAACGCGGAAACGGGCGCCTAAGAGCTGCGCTCTAAAAGATATTGACCGTAAGGCTTCTCGGATACAAAATTTTAAGTGAATTAAGCAGATGAAAATGCATACCATGCCCGCACCAGGCGGATTTTACTTTTTATATTTGTTTTGTTTTTGAACATCAATTTTTGTCCAGCAATCCAAAAAATGTCGTATCGATATTGAATTTTTTTCTCTTTCTCTCTCTCGGCAACTAGTTTAGTTGCATCCCTGTTTTATGTGTATTCATAAATTATTCCTATGTGTCTGAACTTGATATTTTGCTTTATTTTAGAACACTCCGGCTTCAAGCCAATTCACGGTGAGTATATTTCTTTCTCATTTTGCTTAAAAAGAAGACGAAGATTTGTAGCTCATGATCTCTAAAGTGTTTTCGATGTAGCTCGCACCAAAGCGCAAAGTTTTGCATTAGTTGTATTTTTTTTTACTTACGGTTTAAATGACGGCATTTTCAGCCTATTATGCTCTAAACCTTAAAAATTATTACCTTTCAACTTTTGTTTATTCATTAAAAGCCCAATCTTGCAAGAGATTGTTCATTTCTATTTTCCGGTGAAACGTGTTTTAATGGCGAAGAGCTGCGTTGGATTAGTAAATTCTTACCAAAAAGAACAAAGCGTTGCTTATAATACGAGAACTCGTCAACCTCGTTAAGTAAATCACATCCGATATTTTGTTTGTTTGTTTGGTTACGCAAGTAGTTATTTAATGTTATTCTTCTCTTGTTTACTGCATTTGTATATCTTTAGTTAGATCGCGGTTGGAGTTTAAAGCTTTTACCTGGGATTCCTTGAATGTTACACGGGCCAATACGATCGAAAATGTCCAGAAGCAAATCATTAGATTTGTTTTTGGTAGGTATATTGGTAGAGAGTATTTCTACCATTATGAATCATTGTTTCACCGATTTTCATTGCACAGGCTGTTCGTGAGGAGACAGTACAATATTTTATATTTTTGCACAAGGTAGTTTCCGTAGATGTGAATCCGATAGATTTACTCCAGTCTATTTATTTTTGTGTTCCAACCCATATGAGCGGGAACAGATAAACTTTTTACCCAGCATGCATATTACATGAGTCACCTTTAGCGAGGGTACAACTGGCTGTAATGTTGTTCGTGAATTTCCCTGTGATATTTTTACTCCGATCGGGATTTTATTCGGCATGTACGCGGATGTATGACTTCTGTATAAGCACGACAACGCGGGTATAGCATTAGTTATCTATTTCCTGTGTTTCTTGTTTTAGAGATATTATGCCGGACATACTTATATTTTTATATGTATGAAGTCTAATTAAGAAGTAGACCGCGAGAATGTTTTTGGGGCACAGAGAAAAAAACTTTTTTATTATTATCTCAAAGTTAGCTGCGTATACTTTAAGAAATAGCGATCAATAATTTATACATCGCTTTCATAAAATAATCGTATTACCTAATAGTAATTGGGTTATATTACGTAACAATAATTTCACAAAAAATGTTTATAAACACTATATTGCAGATGTTCTTTTTGTTTTTGTTTGAAGAATACTTATGGAACATATCACCTTCGGCGTGTTCATGGCATTCAGAAATCACAAATTTAACAATTTTATTAGGTTTATATATCAGTGAGAATGGCGGGGCGTTGTGTTTAATAGCGGTAATTAAAAGTAAACGTCATATTTAGTAAACGCCATATACTCCCCACGCTAGCCACAGTATAAACGAAGCAGTCACTCTGATATTCTTTCTCCTTTCGTCAGCATGAACTCCAGAATTGCAGAATTATTGCAAAAGTAATTGCAATTGAAAAGTTTTTTCGGCCTCTATAAAATAGAGAGCATTTTACTCACTTTTGGTCAGGCGTAATAAATTAAGAGCACACAATGCATTACTCAAAGTACAGTAATTTAATAACTAGAATTGACTTATGACCCAATTATGTTTGTTCTTGCATAAACATAACATTGTTTTTGGCTTAAATGAGACGAACGGACAGAGAATCACAATATACCTACAATAATAGACCTACAGTCAATTATTTTCTAACTAAATTATTGCCCAATATGCTCGATCTAACATAATTGCAGCATATAAATTTGCGCAGTGCACTTAGCCTGTTAGAAGTTAATGCTACAAAGGTAATGGACTGGTTTCAAACCAATCTTATCAAAATTAACGTTCAAAAAACGAAACTGATGTGTTTCTGCAGTCCATTGAAACGTAAATGCCGTGATTTTCCATTTGCGCTCCACACGTCAAAGTGTGCTAGCTCCAGCTGCTCACCTGTTGAATATGTTTATACAGCGAAATACTTGGGGTTATATTTTGATAGTGACATGTCCTGGAACTCGCATCTTAGGTATGTTGCTAAAAGGCTCCGAAGTGTATCATGCATGTTATATTCCACAAAATCCTTTCTCCCTTTTTCTGTTCGAAAGATGGTGGTCAACTCTTTAGCCTATGGTGTTTTACGTTACGGTATCACAGTCTACGCAAACTGTTCGATGACTTGGCAGAATAAAATTGATAGTATATTGAGGGGAATTCTGAGGGGCGTAGCTTACGCTCCTCTCGATACTCCAAGTGACGAACTGTTTTTATCTTTTTGCGCCTGCCGCGTTTTTCAGCTCCTTTTAAAAGAAGTGTCATTATGAAGCATTATTGGACTACCACCTTTAAGACCCCCCGTGTTTCCGAGCGTATTCTAAGGGACTGTGAACGCTTTATCATTCCTCGTGTTTATACCAAGTTCGGAAAACGATTACGTTCGTTTTAATAATAATAATAATAATCTTTATTTTTCGGGTGCCCTAAAACGGCCGAGCGGCCTTCTCTTAGGTACACCAACTCAATTTATGTGCCTGAACTTTTTAATGGCCTACCTGATTCCTTTTTAGAGTTGAACTCAAAACGTCAATTAAAGAGACAGCTAAAAACAATATGTTAAACTTTTAAATATTTATTTTTGTCCCTACATTAGCTCCTTTAAGTGACTGTTAAATACTATTTTTCTTTTTGTCGTGTTTTTGCTTTTTTGATTGACCTTGTCTTTGCAGCTCTAAGATACTCGAGATGATCTACGGTTTGCTTTATTTGTATCATTCAGTATTGTAGTGTTATAGTTGTTATTTCAGTGTCATAGTGACCTTGTTTCTTTTTAAGAGATCCTTCTTGGTGTTCGGTTTTCTTCGCTTTTAATATTTTTTCAGGTTTTTTCATATCTTTTTTCCTTTTTTGTATTTCAAATAGTTCATGGTTTTTGTTTTGTTTTCATGTGAATAGTTTTGGTATTTTTTACGCCGCTGCCGGGTCCAGTCCCACAAGCCGCTATCGGCTTTTGACGGACCCGCATTTTTATATATTGTATTTATATTTGTGCAATAAAATTATTATTATTATTATCATTATCCTACTTTTAGATAAGCGAAAGAAAGTAAAAGAATATATTACTCCAAGTAATAACCCTACACCAATTCAATTACTTTTATTCAATTATTACTGAAGCATGCTCGTTCTAACACATTTTGGTGTTCCTTTTTGTGACAGCCGGAAGAAAAAGCCGAATTCCGGAGGCACGCCGTAGCGTGCAAACAAGCGCACCCGTGAAGCTATATGGCTCCGAGCTTCGCAGCGTAACAATGGAATAGCCCAGCACTGTGATTAAAAAAAAGACCTAATAGGTTTTCCTTGTGTTCTTTCAATGTGTTATACTGTAATTGTCCCCATCTCTCCACCGTAAGAGCGGCAATAAACTTTACTTCTCAAGTTCTCCAACTGGGGATGTTTATTGTGCCAACGCAACGGGAGAATTCGATTCCCCGTGCCAGCGAAAATATTGACTTTTATACAGAATGTGTGACCAACCCCTCACCTGTCGTATACCTAGCAGCCTACGAAATCGCGAAGGGATGTAATAACATTAGTTAGGAGTCAATTGCAATCATACATACTCCTTTATACTTTGCCTGGAAAGGTTATTGGGCGAGAGCATTTTCTACTTTGACATTGGGCATTCTTTATCGCTGTTTTGTATCTTCTTGGCATTCACTTTCCCCATCATAAAAATAAAAAGTTAAGTTTGGTTGTGCTTAAAATTAGGACTTAATCCTGATTTAAACCACCATACTGTTCTTTATATTATAATTTGAACGAAACATTTTGTACACGAATATTTTTTTTTTGCATCTATACGGTATTCGCTATACCGCTTGTCTGTGAATCGGTTCTATCCCTGTGCATTTATTTTGTAATAAACTAGAAGCATAATCAAGCAAGAAAGGCTTATATCAGGCTAATCATAAGCCAAGAGTGTTGCTCTTTTGAACAAATTGGAGCGTCCAGCTTTCTTTCTAAACTCCAGCTTGTTTGTCCGCCCGTATATTTTACTATTTTAAGCAAAACATGATGCAGAAAAAAACAAAACAAGAAAAATATACTTGTACATGCACATGCACACACACATATATGGAGAGAGAGAGAGAGAGGGAGAGAGGCAGACGGACAGAGGGATACGTCGAATATGGATCATGCATCAGCTAGTCAGTCGTTTTGTCTAACATGATGTTGCCGCCTGCCTCATGAGACCCCTAAAACTCTAAAAAAGGTACCTGTGTTCACTTTCCCGCAGAACACGGAGGTTTTACGAACGAAGAACATAAGAGTCGCAGCAAATGACAAAGCTCAAGATACATACAGATCTGAGAAAAAAATCGATTTTTGCATTAACAATTTTCCAGGAAAACGTCATTCTCGTTGACCCTGGGCACTTACTTATCAATTTTCATATCTAATCGTACTGTGAGCCTGGTCATTCGCTAGGGTCATCTTATTGTGCGCATTGATTGGCTGTCTCCGTGTTTTTCAGGGGATGTAAACACGTAGCCCTTTTTCTATGATGCATTCTGGGCATTATACAATACCACCGTGTAACTTATTCTTAGAAACAAAAAAGCGCATGTAACTTTTTACCGCATAAAAAAAAAACATTGTGACCGTGCAAAGAGGTTTCGGGTTTTAGTTCAAATAGTACCGGGCTTCAACTCGTTAAAAGTTAACATTTCTGTTTTAATTCTAAACTCAATTTTCACAAAACTTTCAAGTTATTCGCGTCCTCATATCTACGCCATAGCAATGATCAAAATAGCAGTAATCCTTTTTTCTTTGTTTTTTTTTGGTGCGTAGTTTACCAATTTTTGGCTTGTTTTGGGGAAACACCGTATATTGTTCAAAGTGATAAATTAGTAGTATATAAAACCGGGGAACATTTACTTTGTATACAGTTGATCTTAAAACGTTGGTGAATTTTATGATACACAGATACTATGAGTTTTGTAGTCGTTTTTTTGTCGTACTTTGTCTAGGGACCTCTTTTATAATTACCAGTCGTGTAGTACTAGAAACCATCGCAATCCTTGCGGTGGTTGGACACAGGCGCCTTCCACGGAGTGCTTCTCCTGTCTGTAGCTATCTAGGCAGCCAGCTAGTTGAAAGAAAACTCAAACAGGTAGGCAAACCATTATACGATGAAAAAGTTTCAAAAAACCTAAGTATTAAGCAGCCTCTCACAATATTTACGGGGAGCACTTTTTTTATACCAGGACCCCATATACAAAAACCATGTAAGTACGGCACTGCAACAGAGTATATGAAATGTCACAAATCCGATATTAAAAAAAAAAGCAAAAGAAAAACAGATTTTTTTTACAATTTTATTTTTTTTTCTAAAAAGAAAATATTTCGGAGCCGTTTAAACGGCTTCATTAAATTTAGTGATGTACAATGTCACTCGTGCTAACGCAAAGAACACAGAAGGAGTTTTCGCTGTGATCTAGACCGGGTATTTCTGCAAATATTTTTTTTTCTAAAATTACGGTGGTTTAGAAAAAATAAGCTCTTTTCAGGAACAAACTGCCAGCCACAACGGATTTTTAAAAATTTTTGAAAGCACATTATTTAGAAAACAAATCAGCAAACAATTACTAACTGACGTTTTGCTTACTGAAAATAAACAAATAGTTACAATTAGAGACTGTTGACGGTCATCAATAACTCCAAAATCAATCAATTTTAAAAAAGACCTGAAGCATGTATAGGAAGCAAAGGGTTGCACTAAAGCTACCAGTCGTGCAGCAGACGTGAGTCTCGCGGCGTGAAAACGCGGACGATAAGAACATTAATTAAACATGAGGAAGATTGTTGTCCGTCGTTTTCCGTCCCCCCTTTCTATGTATCTTCCTCATGTTTAATTACTGTTACCAACACGCTCGTTTTGTACTTGATAAGAAGATCATCCGCATCTTGGCATCGCCGACCTTGTGGCTGCTGAACGAGTGGTAACTTGAACCTACACCCGCCCTCCCCGCGTGCTTCAAGTCGCCCTAAAATTGACTGATTGGCGGGTTTTCCATGATTCTTAGCAAGTTTTAAATGTGAAACTGTGGTGGTGGGGCCCACAGCCATAGCGGTGGCCGCGTTCCTCCCCCCAACACGTCCCCCAGATGGCACTCTCGGAAGACCCCGCGCACAGCTGGGACCGATACCCGACCAGCCGTTTGGGACCAGCGCTCTCTCCTCCGCCAACGGAGCGATGCGCTGTGTGCCGGGAGAGGAGGACGCACACAAAATCACGCACAAGCCTGCAATAGGCTACACGACTTGGGACCAGCGGAAGGGACAGACGCCGACATCGCGTCTTCGTCCATATTCTAAATTTGGCTGTGTAGCTTCAGGTCCAAAAATTACATTTTGTAATAGAACGCACTTCACTACCCTGGTGACTTCTACAAGCCTTATGTTTCTTTCACGAAATAAAAAGGCAATGAGTAAATTCGAGGTACAGTACATCGTTTGGTAATATATGTGAAGAAAACAGTTTTGGTAAAAACAAAAGAGGCGGGGTCACTTTCTGATGTCTATGTTTCATAGATATTAAATTAAGGCTCTCGTTCCGTATTTCCAGCTTCATCCAAATGAGGCCAGAGCAAGGTACGGACTGAACGCGAGTGCTGACGTCAGCGTTCAACTGGGACTCGGGTCTTCACTGATTGGATACGAGCCCCAGCCGAACGCTGACCTAGCACTTAATGCATCGATATCTATGAGGTGTTGACAATGCTCTTGCCTTTTTATCTTTTTTTTTGACGCGGAATTAGTTAGTTAGTTTTTTTTCTTTTTTTTTATGCGAAATAAGTTGCATTTTTAGGTCTACTTTTACAAAAATAAACGACATCTGCGGCGCCACAAAAGAAAAACACGTTGGCAATTTATAGAGACGGTAAATTTCACGCTCAATCAAAATCCATTTTCAAATTTGTTTAAAGAGATACCTGTTACAACTTACGATAAAATAAAATTATACTGTAGGTAGTAAATACCGACAAACTCGAACAAACTTTTTCAATTATTAAATCTCTTATCCGTCCCAAGCAGCGTCTAAATATTCTACATATTTCTAAAAACTCAAACTCCTTAGACCTAAAACAAAATACAAGTGTATACCTTGAATCGGAATATGAGTATTTTGTCTAAAAGTATTGAGGCCCAATTTATCGTAGACATTTCGATACATTTTATTTGTCCGTGTGTATTATATTCCACGTGTTTCGCGTGTGTCACGTCGAAACCTGTGTGGGCTATAAAAGCATAGCCGATTTTTAAAAAAATATTATGGAATTATTTTAATAGCTCAAAATAGAAAATAAACCATTATTGGGCCACAAACCTTCTCCCTCTATTTGGAGCCTCTCACGGGACACAGTGCCGACCCGCAAATCCGCCCTGAAACCCAAACCGTATAAGCCCTCACTCTGCACCGATGGAGCCACTCTAGGCAATGAACGCCTCAATAGGGTGAGACCCTGCGTCCACGGCAAACTTGGCTCATCTAACTCCGTTTCACTTTAGGTACAAGCGAAGCGGACGCTACGAGACGATAGGGCCAATCAAGCAGGCAACAAAAGCGCACTTTTTGCACCTTATTGGGTCCCCCGGTGATGCACTCCGTGACGTTGCACCTTTGCCACTATTTTGATTGGCTCTGCCGTTTTGTAGCGTAAGCTGCGCTCGTACTTAAAGGGATTGTCCGGTCAAATTTGGTATTCGAAAAAACAATTGAATACCATTGTTATTGCCTCGAGACGCATCGTACGTTCAATATCTGAATTTTATATGCCCCTCTGCGTGAGTAATTGAATTTGTACTGCTCCAATCGCATTCTAGCGTAAACGCTGCTTTCGTTGGCAACATTGAAGCTCTGACATCACAAAACACAAAGCTAGCATTTTCGTCTCGTCGTTTGCTTGTGAGTGAACGCCTCAGCGTGCTTCGTTTTTGTTGTTGTGCTCGACTTGTTTCGTGGTTGGGTGAAAGTTTTGTTGCGCGGTTGGGTGCCACAACCACCGGGCAGCACATGTGACCCCAGATATGACGTTCCACACTTTTCCGCGAGACGTGCAGTGACGAGCAAAGTGGATCGTCGTCGTTCGTAGGGGTTGGGTTCCCGTCAAGATCGAGATCCCGCTTATGCAGCAATCATCTCACAGAAGAGAGCCACGAGCTGAGCTCTAAGCGGACAGAAGGCATGTAAGCTGAGGTGTGATGCTGTGCCAACGATATTAAACTACGTCCACCCACTCCTCGCCCAAATCAGATCAGTCAATTTAGGTCTGTTCCATTCGCCTGAACTGGCTGAACTAGTTCAGCAGTGCAGGAACTGGTGCATTCGATTCAAGCGGAAGTTGCACGACCGCTACACTGGCGCGTTCGATTCATTTCAGTTCTGAACGAGTTCAGACCCAGTTCCTCAAAATCATGCACCGGCTCCGAACTCAGTTCAGCGTCCGTGCAGAAGCAGACAAGAAGAGCAGACGGCGATAGCAGACGACAGTCCTCTCCGTCTCTGCTCGCGGTGCCATTTTTCGCATACCTTGCTCAAATGTCTGCGATGTTTAACAATAACGCCGATACGGAGGTTGCATTTCCTCTCATTTATGATAATAACGTACACGCGGTGGACGCGGAATTGAGATCATAACCGAGGTTAGGAATTTGCTTGATTATGATATTCTGAAAGCGTTTTAGGCACCTGCTCGCGTAGGTTTGGCTCCCTGTGGTGAGTGTTGAAATATTGGCTCACGTAAATTGTTTCTTTTTGATGCTATGTGGGGATGCACAGTGTTGATATTCTTACTTCCAGACACGGGAAATGTATTGCCCTCTTGATAGACCCCGCCTTCAGTTTCTCTTGGAAGCATATTGACGACTCCGATACAATGCAGAGGTCTGGGATTTAGTGCGTTGGCACTTGCATGTCCCCGTAGCTGAGCATAATACTGCATGCTTTGTCCGCTGGTATCTGTGGACGCCCACTAAAGGGCCTAGGAAAAACGCAGAGAATCGGAATTTTTGCCCATTCTCCTTTTAACTTGACGCCAAAGTTACGGTCGATAACTGTCTTGGCCAAGACGCTATCGCCATGCCTTCGTCTTCGAGGTGAACAGTATACCGACCGCGCGCTGCCACCAGTGACTCTCGACGAAAAATCATCCTGATACCGCGAACCTATCGTCGAAATGCAAAGATTACTTTGAGGGGCATTTGCCGCTACCTTCTTGAATTGTAACCGACTATTGATCAGAACTTCCTGGCCGAATCGAACAGACCTTGATTATGCAGCGAAGCCGAAACCAACAGCTAGGCCATCTCGAAATGATACCAGAAGTTGTATTTAGCACTCGTGCAGCCCGATATCTGTTTCACCCGCCTGTGAAAACGAAGCGTGTCTATGATATCATCAAGCTCGTCCAAGTCAAGTCACGACATGCATTTGAACGGTTCGCCGTTTGCCTTCGACCAGCGGACATCGCCTCTGAGGGAATGACCCGCAGCCTCATCACCGATCCAATGGATCCGCCGAAATGGTGCCGCTTAAGAGGCGAAATCGACATCCTTTGCTTTGCAAGCGCCCCTAGTTCGATCGGCGTCCGTCGCAGTGGTGTTTGCACGAAACGGCAAACGTTTGCTCGAAGCTTATGGCTGTCTGCGAGTAATATTCTGCTAAAAGGCGTGAGTTTTTTTGCACGTGCTTGGGAACTGCATTAAAATAACCGTATTTCAGTAGGGTACTGCCTAGGAGACTATACAATTCGAAACAAAAGTCAAGACATCCATCGACCAACGCTTGTTGTCCCGAACATCCGACAAACCTTTGCGTTTTGTGACGTCACGCAGCACCTACGGATGTCAGCCGCGTACACTGGCGAAATTCGGTGTGCAGTTTCGTACATAGGCTCATGAAAGATTTAATTAATAACGGGAGATCATATATCAAAATAAAAATGACGTTTGTCTATATGAAGGCTCCCTCGACGTAACGAGCGCAAGAACTTAAGTACTTCCGGTTTCGACCGGACAATCCCTTTAAGGTGAAACGGAGTATAACTCCGTTTCACTTTGTGTCTGGACGGAGCCAACGCTACGATAACATATGGGCCAATCAGGCCGTGCCAAAAGTGCACCGTCACGACGCTCGTTTTCTTTGTCTGTTTGCTATGATCAACTAAACCAATCAAGCATAACGAATGCACCGCCGAAATTTTGCGTTTCTTTTTTCGTTTTTTTTTTTTCTTTTGCGGTTCGGTTTCAATTGAAACTGAGTATAAACAATCCCAATGGTATACGCCCCGTCCGAATGACCTACATACAAGGACAAGAGCTTAAGATAGCCAAGAATAATCTGCGTAGGTGCCAGGAGTTTTATCACGATATGCACATCACGCGTTCGTAGACGGCAGAACTTGATCCGCTTTCTGCTCGCTGCTTGCAACCGGGGCAACTCGTGTTGAAACCGGTGACGCCATTTCTCTAATCGAGCAAGAAACCAGACACCGTTTTGCGTTCTCTTCGACCTCGCGGTCGTGCTTGCTTCTTTCGCGTCAATGTCACGGAGTCATTTAGCGCGCATAAGTGATAAGAAGCAATTTGCACTTTGCATGCCCACGTTTGCGTCTGACACTTGGTGTGCGGCGGAAAATTCTTATCACAGAAATAAAGCATCACTTTTGTGTCTGTCGAGCAGCGAGACGCAGCTTTTGTACACCGTGTCTATGGGATATGCGAGGGGTGATCAGAAAGTTTTGCAACTCGTATATAACGAAAACTACCAGGGCGTTGGAAAAAATTTATTTTCCAACATAATCTCTCTTCACACTAATGCACCTTTCCCATTGTCTTAAAAAGTTTAAATACCTCACAAAAAAAATATAAAAAAAAACTTTATGCTCTTTAAGCCACTGCTCTGTGGCAGTTCGCAGTGCACTCAAGTCATCGAACCTTTTTCCTTCTAGGTTTTTTTTATTTTTCAGATTCGGATTTAAAAAAGTCACTAGGGGCCAGATCAGGACTGTAGGGTGGGTGGTCAAGCCCTTCAAAAGCACACTCTCGAATGACAGGCTGGGAAACGCGAGATTTGTGAACGGGGACTTTGTCATGCAGGAGGAGGACGCCTCTTGTCACCTATCCTCGTTGTTTTACCACGATGGCCTCACGCAGTTTGTGGAGAACGTTGGCATAGTATTCGCCTGGCTATTGTCCTGCTGTTTTCCAGATAATCAATCAGTAGGATCCCTTTTGCGTCTCAAAAAACTGTCGCCATCACTTTCTTTCCCAAGCGTTTCTTCTTGAATTTTTCCGGAAAGGGCACCCCGAATGCTTCCACTGCATAGACTGTTGTTTTGTTTCGGGGTCCCACAGGTAAAAGGTAAAGCCACGTCTCATCCCCAGTCACAAGGCGAGCGAGAAAATATTCGGGGTCGCTTTCATAGATGCTCAAAAGCTCCCTTGAAGAATGCAAGCGGTGCTGTCAATCCTGCGTAGGGAGGTTATGTGGCAGCCATCGTGCCGAGACCTTCGACATGCCTAAGACGCCTTGAATGATTGTGAAAGTACTGCCCTACGAAATGTTCAATCTTTTAGCAACTTCGGACACCTTAATTCGGCGATTCTTTATGATGAGGCCCTCAGCTCGGGCTGAATGATCCAAATTGGTCGAAGTGCTGGGCCACCCTGACCTTGGGTCGTCTAGCACGTCCACACGACCGCGTTTAAACTCGTTGGACCAACGAGTTCCTGTAGCACATGAAGGGCATTCATCGCCCTACACATTCACCATTCTACTGTGAATTTCCTTTGCGGAACTACGTTCTTTGCACGAAAACTTTATCACGCTCCGGTACTGAAGCATGAAATAGGGGAGGACACCATGTTTAACTGACTGATGCAGAATAAAAGCGGAACCGGAAGTCTTGATGTTACGAACATGTTTGGCTAGAGAGATATGCTAACCAACGCTTAAAGAGAGATCGCCGTCAGACCTTTGGTTATAGCCGAGTTGCAAAGCTTTCTGAACACCCCTCTTATTTTGTTTTTCTTAACATCCTGAGAACCAGGGCTTTTTTAATCAAACGCAAACGATAATCCCCCGGGTTGCCTCTCCGTAAAAGCCAACGTGCAGCCACTTTGCAAAAAAATATTTAAAACAAAGCAAACAAAAATCTGGTTCTTTTTAAAAATTCAGTAGTGCATCTCCCTTTAACGCCACATCCAACAGAAGCCGTAAAATGTTTAGAAATATGCGAATCAATTAAAAATAAAATATAGGAACAGCGAGCAGTACAAACAGCACATAGAATAAGAAAGGATCATTCGCTTGAGCTTTGATGTCATCGCAGCGACGAGGAGCCCGGACACAAATTTGACAGGAGCACCTTGTGAGCCTTCGACTAGGCATCATCATTCCCTATCAACGCATCGAAGGACGCTCTGTGTTTGTCTCGAGCCCGATTGCAGGGTTGACACCATGGGGGTCAAAAAGGCTTTTCACGTGCTTTGTTATTTGGAACTGATGTTGGCAATTCGTGACTGTTTTGACTTTTCCACTGAGTTTTATAATGCATGCGTAATTAAACAAATTAAAGGGTGAAAACAACCTCGCTTGACTGCGGGGCACTTATTTCTCAGCTACCGATAAAAATTAGTATCGGACATCATTCTTGAAGGAGCTGACTTGGCGGTCGAGGCCATTCTTCAAACCACCAGGCTCCCTAACATATTGCCTTTGGCTCTTCATTCTAGTGACATTCAATCCCATCCGCCATATGATTAGATTCGTTTATTGCGAACCTTGAGCTTGGTGCTGACGTTTACACCCGTTGAACGTGCTGAAGTCAACGTGAGACATAGGGAATTTCCCCGAGAGAAAATTTCCTAACGCCGATAAAGTATCTAGAAGTATTATGTTACCCGACGGGCTGTTGGCACGCATGCAAGCTGCGAACAGATCTGCTCGTGGTGTTGGCCGTGACTTTCGAGAAAATAGTATAAGATGTCGAAAGTGGAAGGCAATACGACACGTCGCAACGGCGGTCCTAAGATCACCCCAAGAGCGCAAGGAAAGCGTATATTCTCATATTTTATCTCAAACCCAAAGGAATGAGACTGGCGCCGTTGAAAGGGGCGCAGATTGCTCTCGTTTGCGCACGTCTGGGCCAAATTATCTGATGACGAGGAAGGCCCTTGAGGACAGTTCTGTTTGGCTTGATTTCTTGAGCGATAGATATTGGGAGTGCGGCCATATAAGGACCGTCACGTCCGGGCACTGGGGCAACTCGTACCAACCTCGCAAAACAGTCATGAAGTGCAGCGTGTGCCTCCTGGTTCTGTGCTCTCTCGCACTCTTTGTTTCCGCCGAGGAAGCACACGAAGCCCCGGCAGCCCCGACTCCGACTCAGAGTCCCTACTGCCGTAAGTACTTTAGAACAGCTCGATTCTACGTTTCAATATGATAGTACTTTTTCTTCCTAGAGAACTCTTTGTTTTCAACGGACACAATGTAATAGTACACTCTCAAAAACCTATATGTGGTAACTTTCCTGCAGAACACGAACGCAGCCAATCGCGACGAAGAATATAAGGATCGCAGCAAATGGCGAATCTCAGAATACGATTAGATGTGAAGAATGTGATGTGCGCAGGGACAATTAGCATCAGCAATCAAATTTTGAGTTTCGTCCTTCGCCTGGTTTATTCTATATTTGGTTCTGTGCCCTCTCGCACTCTTTATTTCCGCCGAGGAAGCACACGAAGCCCCGGCAGCCCGGGGCTTCGTGTACTTGCCGGCGGCGTACAAAAGGCCTGTAGAGACGCCACAAAAGGCATGTAGATTAACTTTTTTTATTATTATTAAAAATTGCAAATCTGGGTGTGCGGTTTAGTTCTTAACACAAAGATCACTATTACTACTAGCCACCTCAGTCGCATAAAGAAAAAAGGAAACCTACTGTTTCAGCCAGAATCATAAGCTCCCCATGTAATTGCATGCTTGGTGAGGAGAGGACGCAGCTGCGTGCATAAGATCCCCATGTAATCTAAAGTTATCCTCACACCTTTAGTGAAGCTTCTGAAATGACCTTCGGGGGATTTCACAAAAAACCACATCTGTACTGTATTTTGTAATTACTTACGAATTTTTTTATACACGGTCAGAGCCGTCCCAACCTAATTTATATACCGTAAAACGCTTTAATTTCGCATCTGATTTTTGTTTTCGAAATTGGCAGCGGGATAATATTCGCAATCATTAAGTTTCGCGATATCTAAAGGTTGGTATTCAGCTCTACAGACAGTAGAGATATTCGCGCCCCGTAGAGTTCGCAAATTTTACCATTCACGAAATTCCCGAAAATTAGGGGCTCGCGAGCATTAAGGGTTTCACGGTATCTCATCAAAATATCAGATGTACAATTCAATTTTAGCTAGCTGTACTTGGTTTTGTTACCTACTGCTCCTCTGCAAAACCGACGCCGATTTAAAACTAGGAGTATGTCTCTGCTCCAGAATCTTTTTTTTTTTTCATACAATTTACAAAAGAAATGACTCCCGAAACTATTTACGATTGCGTTTCCGGCCAAGCTGCTAAGTTGCTGTCATACGACCCTGAGCCATGCATCGTTAGTCAATTTATGTCAGACAAGTACCTAACTGCACATTGATGTGTATCTAGCGGCAGTTTTGTGCCGTACTGGATATAGCGTGCGTTACTGCTGACGTTACTTCTGTTGCCTGGAGAAGGGCTATACTTGGTTTCACTCTAACTACGGCCGCAGCCGACGCTATGCTTCAATCGAGCCAACGAAGCAGCGTGAAAAGTAAGTCGTCATGAGGATCGTTGTATTTGTCAGTTTTCGATCACCGGCTAAATCAATCACGCACGAAAGACAAGGACCGTGGCGCATTTGATGGGCCTGATTGGCTTTGCCGGGGATCGAAAACTCACAAAGACGACGATCTTCATGACGATTTACTTTTCACGTTGCTTCATTGGCTCTATTGAATTGTTTACGGTCGGTCGGGGTCGGGCTTAGAAAGGAAACAAAGTGTAGGCTACGCATCATTGCAAAAATAAAATTTCGGTGCAAATTTAATTGCAGCAACACAAAATTTCTTATCATCATTATTTTATTTCAGACCTCGACGACACAGCTTTGACTGCCCTAACACAATGTGTTGGCGCACAAGTGAGCGAAGGGGTGAGTTACACGGAACTTGTAGCCAAGTATCCTTGTTCGTTCGATTTTAAGGTCTAATTTTCAATTCAGCACTTTATGGAACCTAATATAGATTTCGGGAAACTTAATATTTGATCAACTTTAGTTATAAGGATTAGTTGCTTTGACTGATCGTTTTAGTAGTCAGCATAGCAAGGTACTCGCATGTTTAAAGCTTTTAAAATTTGACTACCGATTTAGCCGCCTTTACTTTCTTTTTTCTGCATGCCGGTACATTTTTCAGTACTTGTAGCTGTAGTTTTAAACACGTCACAAATAAATGTAACTGTAGACGAACTCTACTCTCTGGTGTACGTCACACCATTGTGATGGCGCTGCTGTCGGCAGTGGGCATGCGCAGTTGCTTCGCCTCGCGCGAATCTTGTTTCGGCGTACGCGTGGCGCCCGGTGTGGGCAAACACGGACTTGTTTGTAAACGGTTTGTTGGTGTATACAATTTATTTACTGTATTAAAAAAGAAGCAAGTAACTTCAAGCACTCTCAGCTCTGCCCCAAGCTCTATCCAGCACAGATATTCAGATATGTGCTGTGTTTTGCACGCAAGCAAGACAACGTTGGCATTCAACTGATAAAAGACGTTACGTCTTCGTTGGTGAGGGCACACCAAAACTTAAGTCAAAGGAATATAAAAAGGAAACTTCGTTAAACCAGCTGATATAAAGGCACATATATCTTAAATGTGAAAGTTTTGCGTTATATTTAAAAGATCCTCACTGCACACTGGTATACAAAAAAAATGACGTATTGCATGTGGATTAATGTATACAATATGATGTAATTTGATGTCACTTACGAGTTTAGTAATAGAAACCGGAGTGAATTCGCGTGAATACAGGTAAGAGCACTACAAAACGGAAGCCTTTATTAATTAGGTTTATTCGGTCTTACGTGCTACTTGTGTACGCCTTTTAAATTTCATATGCTAACAACCTAAGTATGTAGCATATCTCCCGGGGTTTTTTTTTTTTTTTTCTTTTTATGCATTGCTCTGCATTTCTTTCATTTTTGGTTTCAGCTGAGAGCTAAACTCCACGATGTCACCACCCGCCTGAGCTGTGAAAACACGGTGTGCACATTGAAGAAGCTGTGCGAGCAGGAACCATTAGTAAGTAACATCTGCAGTGTTTGTAAAAGAAAAGATATTAGCATACCTTCATTTTTTATTAGTTATTCTATTAATCTGTTACGTATGCCTTCGTAAGACCACTTCTTAGAAAGGAAAAAAAAGCTTACCATGGACTGTATTGGCGACGTGCGCGATCGAAAGCGTCGTTGTGATCGGCCTTCCTCGATTGGCCGAATGCTGAGAATTTCTCGACAAAAATAATAGTAATTTAAGGGCTTAAATTTTGACGATGTTGGCAGTGTTGGCTTCAAAGGAAAATGATTTCAGGCTTCCACCATGCTCATTACAAACACCATCGGACTTGTTGTTTGCAAGCTAATGACGTCGCGAGGAGGAACAATATAGGAGCGCCACCAAAACATCTCGCCGCTAATAGATTCTCTGAAGGTTGAAAATACTTCGACCGTTCAATTCCCACACCCCTTAGACAGTTCTCTTAATCCGAGCGTACACGATCACTCGCCCTTAAAATGCCCAGTAACGAAAACTCGATCGGACGGGAAGTCCATCGTACGAAACGAGAAGGAGCATTCAAGGGACCTTTTGTGAGGTCATGCTACACCATAGTCGCCGAGAGTTTAAAAAAGGCCGGGCGTTGCGAGTCCTGAGAAACGTATTATCAATCCGCAGTCCATAAAATAGCGATAGTAGCCGATCAAAATACCGAAGCAAAATCACAAAGTGGCGTGATCCTAATAAGCCACGCCGTGCGTTTCTTAAAGGGGCCCTGCAACGACCTTTTACTGTTTGTTTATTTTTTTAGTTCGCACCGAACCTGAGCACACTGCACGTAATAACTTAATGAACTTTTTATTTTCTCGAATTCGCTTTATTTTAGACCTTATAGGCATAATAAAATGACAAAAACAAACAAAAATAACCTCCTTCATGACGTCCTTGGTTCTCTGTCCCCCCTTTTCCCGCCCTGGAGGGTGCCGCCGTGGCTGAGGAATGTGGGAAGGGAGGGTAGACGGGGAAAGTATGTGAGGCCGTGGAGAGGGAGCTCTCTCTCCTCGGCTGGCCAGGGCCAACAACGTCACAATTTCGTCACATGCCGCGCGCGTTTGACACCACGGGGCGCCCCCGTAGGAGGAGGAAATTTGCGTGTCGTCCGGTTAAAATATGACGCACTGATATTTAGTTACCCACTCCGTGCCCGCCGGGTTGCCCGAACCACAAGGGACGTGAAAACCGCCAAAAGGGTATTGCAGTGCTCCTTTAAGCTTTCCCTCTTTCTTTCACTCTAAAAAATGTCTGTGCGTTTACTTTCACGCACAACACTTGGAGAGCCAATCACCGCAACTTACGGAGGCAGCTCAGCGAATGACGATGCTGAAACATATGTTTAGACCAAAAAATGCAGTCTGAGTTGTGACATTAAGCAATGCAAAACGTCACACTCGAGACAATGCCACACTATTTGTGCGACGACATTGTCACCTCAGATTCTTTTGGCGACATATGCGTGATTAAAAAGCGTAAATCTGGTCCGCCTTCCATGATTGGCCAAGCACTCGCATTGTGACGTCTTGGGTAGGACGAATCCCACTTTCATTCTTGGAAATAAGAGTAATGTAGGATGTCAACTCAGTTGACGGTGTTAATTTAAGGACGCGATTGCTACGAGCTTCCCCTGTGCCTTTTACACACACCATCAAAATTGTTGCTGGCAATCTATTCTACTGGTCGTTACATAGGGACCCGGAAGCAACGATTCGCCAATACACCATGGTGTCCCCCAAAAAAATTACAGCAGTTTTTTTACCGCAAAAATGAACTAGGTATCGCCGGACGCTCATTCTTCGCCCGAAGGGGGCGCTAGAGGTCACAACCAGACGCCAAAGTTTCAGCGCGAACTAATATGGTATTCAAAAGTTAGAACTGATTTTCTATTCTAAAAATGTCAATGGGAAAATGGTGGTCGACGGAGCGCTCGAATGCATGGAGCTATGGCGCCAGAAACCGAAAACGGGCGAAAATGGGCCCCATTTTCGCATGGAAAATTTCAGAAAATCCCTTATAACTTTGAAATAATATATCGGTTCGAGCTGAAACTTTGGCGTCTGGTTCGAACCTCTAGCGCTACCCTTCGGCGGAGAATGAGCGCTCGGCGATGTATTGGTAAATTGTGCGGTGAAAAAAAACAACCTCGAAAATAGTTTGTTGGGACCACCTGTAGGGTGAGGCATGTTGAATGTAGAGAACACAGTATAATTTGGGAGCATTCATTGGTATAAATAGTAGTACCTGTGAAAACGACGAAAAGGTCCTAATTGTTGTGTTATTTTTTTTTTCATTTCAGAGCACTGTCAGCGTCTTCACCGTAAGTGTTCCTTCTATCAAGCAATTACAAACAAATTTATACATTTCTTTGTTAGCCCGCTTAAACCATAAAGTTTTGCCTTCCGCGTAACAACTGAAAACTCGATGTGAAATAGCGCGATCTTTAAAAAAAAACAAAAAAACTATCGACATTTTAAAAGAAAAAGCCAATAATAATGAAGAGCACGTTTTCTAGCGGTCGCAAAATGTGCATAGTCAATATATATATATATATTTCTTTTCCTTACATAGGCCGAAGAAAAGCTTGAATTCCGAACTCTCGCCGCTGGATGCCACAGCCATACTACTGCCCACCCTGAAGAGGCCCACCATGAAGCAGCGTAGGCGTTCTACGCAACCATTTATCTACAAGACCAGCAACATAACCCATTATTTCAAATAAACAAGGCTGCTGCTACCCGAAACGTTGCTCATGCGTTAAAATGCATATTCATTCGTTGGCTTGTTTTTTTTTTTTTTTTTTTTTTTTGCTGGGAAAACACATATTGACTGCTCTTGGCGGTAATTTGTGTAACTTAATCATTCGAGATTTTCGTTTCTTCGGTTCGTTCAATTACCAGTACCATGACTTCTAAACAAATCCAGTGAAACAGACACTCTCACAACCGCAACTCTGTAACGTACTAAGAAAGACCGTTCTTAAACAAGAAAATGTTTGTGAAGAAATCTATACTAGAGACGTACAAATCGCGGTAGTCATCAAAACGTTGAACAGCGGCTGCCATTTTGAGGAGTTTGAAGACGTTTCTTTCGTAACGACTATTAAAAGCTGATCGTCGCGACTACCGTGTTCGGCGGCCTTCGGTTGTTTTCGGCTTTGCAGCTTTCGGCACCATAATGACAAGCATGCACTTTTCAGCCTTTCGTATTAAAAAAAGAAAAAGAAGAAACACGTCATATATTGTAGGGTAGAAAACCACTCGTATGCATCGTAATATTGCACAGCTTTGAAGCTCACCTTAACCATTGTCGATATTTCTGACGGATGTGGACACAAATAATCAACTGTTTTTTTTAGATACCTGTAAATAAAACGCGGATGGAAAATGTGCTGGCGTGCTATCATTCGCGTTTTCGTACTCCAAGGTTTGCGCCTGTTCCACGAGTGGTACTTACAGGGCACTACCGCGATTCACACTAGCTTCAAATCCTGTTAAAATTGTCTGATTTAGTAGCGTCTTGATGACGCTAATCAGTCATTTTCTATTAAGACATATATTTATTTTTACTAATTACATTTTAGTTTATTGAACATTTTATTGTGACGATTTGTCCCCTGTATTACGCCCCCGGTTTGTAAATCTTGCTTGCACATACCGGATTAGCTTATCTTTTACGACTTTCTATAACCAAACTTGCAACACCTGTAAAAAAAATACCAGTATTTCTGCGAATCGAAAATTGATGAAATGGTTTACAGTTACGTACCGTGCTGGCCAAGATTACAAGTTGTCTCAGTTAAAAAAAAAGGACAACTAATAGTCAATATCTCGAACAGATGTTAAGCCCTACCCTAGCGTTTTGTTTTTAATTTTAACTAAGTCTTTGTATTCTTGAAATCCATGTCAGAGGTTCTCCTAGTTTTATTGTCCGGCGTTCAAAATAAATTCAGACGGCTTCGTTAAAATAAATTACTACCCGACCAACCTAACTCTTTTCCATGAAAATAAGAGGAGAATAACCGCCAAGGTGAATTATCTCTCAGCAGTCATGATGGCAGTGTCAACGTCATGAGCATCAGCTGAACAAAGTTTCAGCACACTGTGGCGTTTCAAGAAATGCCCCAGAGCAACCATATAACAGAAACGACCGAAACAGGTGATGTTTACGCATCTTAATAGTGAGCGAGCATTAGTCATCGATCTGTCAATGAGGGAGTTCGTGTCGAGTACCGTCCAATTACGAGCCGTCTTCACGCAGCCTTAGTTTTCGAATGTCGCCCTTTCTCGAAAACAACACCTGAAGAAATAATCATCCCTGAAACCAAAGTGTGTATGTTTTGTTATTGAAGAGTTTCATATTGCAAGCTTGCGACAAGGCAGTGGTGTCACAGTGCGGCACATAGAAGAAGCATTTCGCACTGAACACGACCAGACTGGCATAGACATCATGTTTAGCAGCCAAGCTTGGTTCCTAAACAATGTCAACTTACCTGAGCACGGCGCTTACAAGAGGTTCGGCGCAACGCTAAACGCTAACATTTTTTTTTTTTGCATGATATCTGGAAATTGATAGCACATGTCTCCTTCATGCGCCGATGGAAACCACCTCAATCATCTCAATCCCTGCATGTCTACTCGATCGGCCGTCCAGCAATCTGATAATAAGGGGAGCGAAAAATACTATTTTATGTAGATTTTATTATGAATGTCGTCTCGCAGTAACTCTCAGAACGTCGAGTACACAGACGCTTTAAAGAAGCAGATTCCAGCGCAGATAAACGAGAAAAACATGGCGGTGTGTTACCGTCGTTGCTGCTTACAACTGCGGGATGCACAATTGAACCCGAGCTCCGAGCAACTTCTGGGGGTCGAATTACGTGAAACAAACATACAGAGCAACACTGGACGCGGGTAGGTTTTCCAATTTCAAGGTGTTAGACGATTACTTTGGAGCGAGCTCGAGAGACAAGGCCGCGGGAAGGCGCGGAAGCGGCCAGGATGCTGCGGGCACATAGGAAGAGTGAAAGTACTTGTTGTTGGTCTATGATTAACGTTTTGGACCATGGTTAAAAGCGCTAATAAAACGAACACAAGAAAAGAGAAGAAGCGTCCGTGTTTGTCTTTTCTCTTGCGTTCGTCTTTTTAGCGCTTTTAACCATGGTTCAAAGGCATTAGAAGAGGCCCTAGCATATGGTCCGAGCGGAAAGAGCTTCACTATGCGAAACAACGAGGACGCTGTCGATGGTGGCGCTGACAACCAGGTTCCAAAGCTTTAAAGGCACAGCAGCGCGGTAAACCCTTTAAGTGACGGACGCTCCCAATATATTAAGTATAGTTCCTGGCAAGGAGAGCACCTCAATGGGGGGAGCTTATAACCCTGTCAGACGGGCTAGTTTAGTGTCACTACAAGCGAGTGCATTTCAACCGGTCGAAACACACTTCAAGTGTGTTGGTGCTACGCGGGAAAACTTAGTGTCACTCCAAAATGATGGCAATGACGATGGGTAAGTAATGGGCACGCAAACTATTAGAGTGCATACGCATTTTTTTATAAATAACTTCGTCGTCTTATTAGAAACAACGTACCACACATTGTTGCGCTAAGTCACGAGCTTTAATCCAAATTGAAATCCAATTTGATAATTACGATCAGCCATTACAAGCCAGTGATACTCGTCCGCACGCCAGTACGATGCTCATCCAGATCGAAACGAGCAGGGGTAGGAATTGAACCCAGGATATCTGGGCTCTGCAGCGCGAGCTTTCGCTCCGCGTGCTTTGAGCTGGTGTGCACGAGCCCACTCGGCCACTCGCCACTCGCCACAACGGAACATCATGGAGTGTGTGGAGGACGAGCTGGAGGGCGATATCCGCCATGTTGGACAGTAGAAGCGCGCGGTTGAGTTACTTTTCTCCGTGAGAGCCCGACGCCTCTCAGATGAGAGGCAGCTGGACCTGGATGCTGACGCACAGGCAAGAATTTCAAGTGACATCGATCAGCAGCTGCAGGCCAATGTCTTCACCATACCCGCTCTCATGACCGACAACCTACCCGCGATCAGTCGAGAACGGTGGGCTTTCCAGAGGAACGAACGGTGGTTCGAAAACACCTTGCCCCATTTGGACGAGTTCCATTTCAAGCAAGCCTTTCGCGTCTTTCCTGTCACCTTCAGATACCTGGTGGAGTTCTTGCAGGTGCCTCCTGGCTGTCGCTGGGCGTCGCGCAGGGGCCAAGGCTGGAAACTAGTTTAGCCGCTTGTTTTTCTACAATGCACTACTTTCCTGCCAACAGAAAACAAGTGCGCATCTAATATTACTCCTATAAAAATAATACTAATTTTACGCCGCGTTAATTTCCTCTATTATTTTTACTCCTTGAACACTGCTACCGAGATTACACACTTGGTCTACCGGAGCGAGCGTAGTGTGCTCCCCGATCTCACTTCATTGGAAGTGTGTTCTTCGAGCAGGGCTGGGGATTGAGCTCAGGATCACTGGGTTCTCCAGCGCGAGCTTTCTCTCCACATACTCCGATCTGGTGGGCGCTAGCCCACTCGGCCACCGATACCCCTTAATAAAGACACGTTAAAAACATTTGCCGTTTACACTTCTCTGTAATGCCGAATTGGAGCGCAGCACTTGAGGAGGAGGAGGGAAGGGTACGAAAGGGAGGGTATGAAGCTGCTCCCCCTCCGCACCCTCCCAACCTCCTCTCCTGTTCCCATCCCACTTAGCGTGAACGTTCGCTAAATTTCCCGCTAAATTAAGCGGGGAAATTTTCCCGCTGAATTGACGTGTGACGCCACGTGACATGTCACCTCAGATTTTAAGTGACGTCACGTGACGTCACACGGGTAAAATTTCCCCTTTAAATTTAGCATAAGCATTTTCCACCAAACTAAGCAAAAACTTTCACAGCAAAATTTAGCGGGAAAATCTTACCCTCCTGACGTCACGTGTGACGTCATTTTGAGAAACAGCCCTTAATGCAACGCGCGGTTACGCCGACGCCGCTCAACTCAGAAACGGGTTCCTAGGAGCTGTGTTCTAAAACAACGTTACATTAATAAACGATTTTTACGCCAATTGGATGATTCTGATCGATCATCGCAAGCCAAGATAAACAACGAAGCATATCCAACTTTAGCGTCCCGCTTCGTTTCCTGGAAGTCTACGCGGAGGCCCTGAAACTGCCTCATTAGATCATAATTATCCTGTTGTCTCGAATAGTTACATGCTGAAACAAAAGTACGCTCCATCATTCTCTGCTAACCAAGATAGCCGTCGAATGACTGACTTTGTCGTCGTCTTTTATCAATTCGCGCTACGCTAATCTTGGTTCAGATCAGCCTAAACTCCAAGTTCACCCCACATTTTTTTGCAATGCCACTCTTCTACATGTCGTCTCTTTCACGAATTTTTTAGAGCGCAGCTCTTAGGGGCTCGTTTCCGGCTTGAGCGGCGTCGGCGTCGCCGTCGGCGTCGCCGTCGGCGTCGGCGTAACCGCGAGGTCACGTGACCCACCCAGGTCACGTGACACCCCTAGGTCACGTGACCCCCTGAAGTCACGTGACCCCCTTGAGGTCACGTGACCCCCTGAGGTCACCTGACCCCTTAAGGTCATGTGACCCCCAGAAGTCACGTGACCGCCTTGAGGTCACGTGTCCCCTGAAGTCACGTGACTTCTGGGGATCACGTGACCCCCTAAGGTCATGTGACCCTTCAGGTCACGTGACCCCCAAAGGT